GGCCTGCAGACCGGATACATAAAGTACTGCTGCTGTTTTCTCTGCGAATGGGATAGTCATGCGAGAGATTCCCACTACATCAGGATAGCCTGGCCACTCCGACAGTCATTGGAGCCTGGGAGGAAAAGTGTTCATCCACCACTTGTTGAATCAAGGAAGATGTTACCACCCTTACACATCAAGCTGGGTCTGATGAAGAACTTCGTCAAAGCCATGGACAAAACACAAGCAGCTTTCAAGTACCTCCGTGGAAGATTCCCAAGGTTAAGTGAAGCTAAGATAAAGGAAGGTGTCTTTGTTGGTCCTCAGATTTGTGAACTTCTTCGAGATGATGTATTTGACAGTGCACTGCGTGGCAAGGAAAAGACGGCATGGAAAGCCTTCCACTTAGTGGCAACACATTTTCTCGGAAACAACAAGACAGACGACTACAGGGAGTTGGTGGAAAACCTCAAGGCATACAAAAGCCTTGGTTGCAACATGTCACTAAAGATAAATGCTTTGCACTCTCATCTAGATTTTTTCCCACTGAACTGCGGAGCAGTGAGCAACGAGCATGGCGAGCGGTTTCACCAGGACATTGCAACAATGGAGAAAAGCTATCCGGGGAAATGGAGCCCATCAGTGCTTGCAGACTATTGCTGGACTGTGACAAGAGATGCTCCATTTAATGAATACAAGAGACAAGCCAAGAAGGGCCGAGTAGACACTGAATAAGGACTAAACTATATAATAGTTTGCCTTTTGTTTAATAATACAGGGTGTTTTAAAAAGCTGGACCCGATTTGTAACTGCTATAACTGCCCATGAATTAAACTTACCACTTGAAAGGGCGGGGCATAGAGTTTCAAATGATTACCGCTAGATGCCTCTCCCAGCGCACAAACAGCCCTAGCCTCAGTCATTCGCAAGACGGTGACCCCGCAACACAAGGGGCGTTTGGCGTTCTGCAGTTCAGCAAGACTGAATCCGTAATTGCGGTGCAGCGTGCGTTTCAACGGCGTTTTGGCATTGATCCGCCCATGTCAAAGAGCATTTGTTGTTGGTAGCGACAATTTCAGGAAACAGGCTGCTGTTAATGTAAGGGGAAGAACAAAGGGCGACCACGCACCTCAGAGGAAAACGTGAGAAGAGAGGCGTTTGGGACGAATTCAACTATCGACTCGATGTTGTCCGTACAGCAGGTGGAGGGCACATAGAGCATTCATAAAATGGTTAGTAAAACTTGATAACTCATTAAACCGTTTGTAACTTTTTGTGTAATTGTAACATGTTGCCATCGTGAAATATACTGCTTTTAAATTGGGTCCATCTTTTTAAACACCCTGCACATTTTTATTTAAAGCTTTCGTGACTGCAGGGATTCATATTCTTGGTTCTTTCGGTAAAGTCACGTAGAAGGGAAACAATTAAATACAAATATAAAACAATACAATTCTCACGACGTTTCGACTGCAACACAAGAAATCATCATCAGGTGTGAAAACCATAGGAAGAAATTTTGTAAAAAGTGGCGGTTTTTTAACGTTAGCACTACGGAGAGCGATTTGGCAGTTATTCAGATGGACGAGTCCATCTATGTTCGGAAAAGAGGAGGGGGGAGACGAAAATAATGGATGCGGTCTGAAAGCCACCTTAAGCGTGAACAATCAATTAAGACCCGAAATGGTTTATCAAATCCTTCCAATGATTGCTAAGCCAGAATCCATCTTCTCGGTTGAAATTGTCTCTGTGTTTGTATATGTGGATAGCCTCATGAACGAATCTCTCATGGTAGCCAGATGGCTTGCAAAGAACCTCTGTCTTGGAAAAGTCAATGTCATGTGAGCCTACTGAATTATAAGTGATCTGCCACAGCCGAGGTGTTGCTCCTACCGTGTTTTAGGTCTGCTTTGTGTTCACGAATGCGGTCCGAGACATGTCGTTTGGTTTCTCCAATGTAACTACTACCACAGAGGCAACTTAGTTTGCAGACGCCAGGGTACTGTATGTCCGGAATCACATCTTTTACAGACGGAACCAGATCATGGATTTATGTAATGTGTTGAATCGGACCTGGATCTTGTGTCCTAATAAAAAAGAGACCTGATGGTTCAATGAGCCACTCTGTCTACAGGAAAGCTACCCATACGGATGCTTACCTGAAACCAGATTCCCACCACCATCCATCCCAGAAGAATTCCCTCATCAAGACTCTGCACCATAGAGCCCAATGCATATCCGACCAGGAACACATAGCCAGTGTACTCAAGCACGTACACCAAGCTCTTAAGGCTAATGGTTACTCAGACTACACAATCCGCAAAGCTATCACTCCAACTATGAAGAAGGACCCTCTTGAGGAGCCTTTCAAAACCATCACTTTACCCTACATTGCGGGGATCACAAAAAAGATCTCCAGGTGACCTGTTATCATGTAAAGCAACCATAAACACATGAAAAAACCTAGGTTTACAATTTATGAGAAACTCTACACAATAAACATAGACGTAAAATGTAAACTTTAATATCTTGGGAACAGTAGCCATTCAGTTATTTTAATTGTCATATTTGAATTCAGCACATCAAAATCCATAATAGACAACACATTTCATCTCTAAAGCAGACGACGTCTAAAAGAATTGTAGACCAGTGTTATGTAACTAGCTCGGCACACTGGTGTGTTGGAGAGTAAACCCACAACATTGACAATTCCAGTACTGTGACGTTTGGCTGGTGATTACACAGCTGGCTATCGCTTCATCAGGCGATAGCCAGCTGTGTCGGGTGGCGGCGGGTTTACGACACATATATTTACGCGATCTCATACGCAAACAAAAATACCTTTACTATGGATATTGGTCGAGAAAGCCTGCTACCGGACCGCTACGTGTTTAACCAGCACGTGGCGTTGTTGGGCAAAGAGTTCCCCCTGCTGTTTCGCTGGCATGCCACAGAACAACTGGAGTCGGGATCCCTCGTGGCTTGGTGGATGGAGTTTGGCATCTAAAAGTTACATTATTATTAATAATAATTGTTTCAAGCGTCATTCGTGCAATTGCAGCATCAATTAGCCGGTCCCTTATGAAGATGATAACAAAAACAAAGCCCCACTGCTGAGAAAACCACAAACTAAAACGGTGAATACGTTAAATAACCAGACGCGTGTCTCGTTTCCACCCACATGGTAAATACAAGGGAGTTTTCTTTTTACTCATCCCGTCAGCCACACGGCCCTCTCTGTGTGATTTTTCTCTTTGGGCAGCATTGGCTTGTTAATACAGTTCAGGTAAACTCTGGACTCCAATCTTGATTTGAAGCTTTCGTGACTGCAGGAATCCATAGTCTTTGGTTCTTTCGGTAAAGTCACGTGGGTAGAAATAAAATAAAACATTCAAGCGTCATAAAATAAAACGTTATTTTATTTTATTTCTACCTACGTGACTTTACCGAAAGAACCAAAGACTTTGGACTCCAGTTTCGACGTTCAGTGTCTCATCGGCAATCAGACTGCACGATGATTGTATGCTAGATTTGGTTTGGGGTTGAACTAGTACCCGTCCTCCCCTATGAACATATGGCAGTGTCACGGGCATTCGTTCCAGCAAATCTGACTCTGCTGATGTTCACTTGTGTGTATGTGTGTTGTAGCAGATACAGTAGTACAGACATTTTAAACTAAACTATTTTTTTATTTTAGCAGGTAAGGCCGCACTGAGCTATGGAGATCTTTTTATGAGCAACTTGGCTACAAATGATAGCTCAACGAAGTGGTTTATCGTCACGTGGAAATGTACAGCAGCCAAACACTCTAAACGCGTGATGTTCATTACTAAATGTGGAGGGGAAAACCGGAGGACCCGGAGAAAAGCCACGCCACCACGGGGAGAGAGACACAGCAAACTCCAAATATACAGCAGAAGCAGCAGCAGGCGTCAGGGTCGGGATGAAACCCACGACCTCCTGCATACCAGTTGAGGTAGTTAACATTTCATAGCCACCGTGAAGATGAGAGAGAGACACAGACTCCAAATATACAGCAGCAGGCATCGTCAGGGTCGGGATGGAACCCACGACCTCCTGTGTACCAGGCGAGGTAGTTAACATCTCAGCCACCGTGATGATGATGAGAGAGAGACACGCAAACTCCAAATATACAGCAGCAGCAGGCGTCAGGGTCAGGATAGAACCCAGGACTTCCTGTGTACCAGGCGAGGTAGTTAACATCTCATAGCCACCGTGATGATGAGAGAGACGCAAACTCCAAATATACAGCAGCAGGCATCGTCAGGGTCAGGATGGAACCCACGACCTCCTGTGTACCAGGCGAGGTAGTTAACATCTCATAGCCACCGTGACTTTTGTAAGTTTTCTGGCCAAGCATCCTCAGGCAAGACCCTCCTTAAAACATCATTCTTAGACTCAGTTGAAGCTCTCTCTCTCCCTTGAGGATCTTCATTCATTGTGTAGCTCTATTGGTTCAATCCACTGCTTGTTGTGGGGTTATTATTTTACCATACCTCACCACGCAGGTCAATGCGGATTGGGCAAGGGCATAGAGCATAGCAGTACGGTACAACAATGTGCATGGAGTACTGGTTTTAATCCAATCTCAACTCCTAGCTGAGCTTTAACAGAGCTTCTGACGAGATATAGTTTGTTCATAGATAGGTATAGTTAGGTATCACCCATGTTACTACTGTTCAACTACTCATACAGCATTATTATAATGTATGAAATACGATCATAACGAAGTGTGTTCGATTTAATGGCAAGTCTGAATTTTTATATGGACATTAAAGCAAACTAAAAAAAAAGACTATGTCGAAGGGAAACAATTAAATAATAAAAATATAAAACAATGTTTTATTATTTTATTGTTTCCCTTCTACGTGGTGACTTTACCGAAAGAACCAAGAATATGAATCCCTGCAGTCACGAAAGCTTTAAATCAAAATAAAAAAAACGACGTTTACGGTATGAGGACATTAGTTTTTGAGTCAACGTCGTCTATTTAGCTGCATTAGGACCGGTTTCGACGTCCGCGTGTCTCATCAGCAGTGCCGAGCTGCCGCCGGGTGACACTGCCAGTGACCACGGTGGTGGGCCTTGGGAGAAGGGAGGGCGGGTAAATAATAAAATAACTCTTTTACAGAGGAAGAAGAAAAAAAAACCTAAAATAAAATTATTAATAAACATAGAGAGAGAGACAAACCTTTCTCTCTCTCACTCACTGCAGCAGACACACAAACACCCCCCCACCCCCCCAGAGTGATAAAGTGTTCCACGGCGGATAACACTTCACTACCATCGGGCATTGTATCATCATCATCAACATCATCAGCATCAACAACAACATCATCATCAGCATCAACAGCGGCAGCAGCGGCGGCTGCAACCGACATGCCGAGACGAAAATCATCAGCAAAGGATGATGACGACGATGATGAAGATGATGATGCTTTGGAAGAAGAGGATGATGACGGCGGTGATGATGATGGTGGTGATGGTGAAGACGACGATGTTGATGATGGTGACGATTCGATCGTCCGCCGGGGTGTGAAGCGAGCCCGGCGAGACGATGGACGAGCGAGCGGCAGCGGCATCATCATCGTCACCTCGTCATCATCGTCACCGACACCACAGCTACCATCATCATCACCACCACCCGCACCACCATCGTCGTCGTCATCATCATCATCACCATCGACATCATCGGCAGCAGCGGCGGCGGCGGCGCGGACGCCAGCGAACGTCGTCATCGGCAGCGTGAGTAGCGAGATGTCTCCAGCTTGAGACAGTCGCGGCGTGTAGCCCGGGGATGGTGTAGCCCGGGGATGGTGTAGAGACCGGCGAAGAGAAACGACGACACGGCGACCCCCTTTGTTTAATCCACTGCTGGATGAATGCCCTTTAACCCCGCCGCTACCGCTACCCACCCAGGTCAGAGACGTGTAACCATAACAGAGTGTTGTTGTTGTTGGGGCAAGCGCTGTGCTGCAGGGAGGGTGGTTCAGCAACCACCACGCCCGGCCGCCTTTGTCTTCCCGGTGGCGATGCTTACACACCGCCGCACCAGGCTACTAATTTTGAGGCTAAGCCGACCTGGTGGTGGGGGTGGTGGGGGGGGGGGACGGGTTCCTTTGGGTTGTCGGTGGCCGTGAGCGGGAATCCAACTCGGGCTCCGCTGCCCCGCTGGTGTCGTCGTGGGCGCAGCGCGCTAACCGCTGCGCCACCGCTCCACCCCCACCCCTCTCGTGCGTTCAGTGCCGAGTGGATTTGGGATTCGTGCGGTGGTGGCAGCGCCGGTTCATTGGGGGGATCCTAAGGATACATTGAAGAGGGGAGGCCCCCCCTGAGCTGACAGAAGAGGTGTGTGTACACACGAGGCTTGAGATGAAGAGGTGTGTGTACACACGAGGCTTGAGATGAAGAGGTGTGTGTACACACGAGGTTTGAGATGAGGTGTGTGTACACACGAGGCTTGAGATGAAGTGAGATGAAGAGGTGTATGTACACACGAGGCTTGAGATGAAGAGGTGTGTGTACACACGAGGTTTGAGATGAAGAGGTGTGTGTACACACGAGGCTTGAGATGAAGAGGTGTGTGTACACACGAGGTTTGAGATGAAGTGAGAGAAGAGGTGTGTGTACACACGAGGCTTGAGATGAAGAGGTGTAGAGGCAAGAGATGTAAAATTATTTTTTGTTCATTTGACCAGGTAAGGCCCCAAATTAGAAGTGGGATTATCGTCATGTGGATATTTATAGCAGTCAAACACTCTAAACGCATGTTGTTGTTGATTACTAAATGTGGAGGGGAAATCCGGAGGACCAGGAGATAAATCCACACGACCAAGGGGAGAGAGACACCGCAAACTCCAAATACACAACAGCAGGCAACAGGGTTGGGATGGAACCCACGACCTCCTGTATACCAGGCGAGATAGTTAACATCTCATAACCACCCTGATGATGATGAGAGACACCGCAAACTCCAAATACACAACAGCAGGCATCAGGGTTGGGATGGAACCCACGACCTCCTGCGTACCAGGCGAGGGAGTTAACATCTCATAGCCACCGTGATGATGATGATGATGAGAGAGACACCGCAAACTCCAAATACACAATAGCAGGCATCAGGGTTGGGATGGAACCCACGACCTCCTGTACACAAGGCGAGATAGTTAACATCTCATAACCACCGTGATGATGATGAGAGATAGACACGCAAACTCCAAATACACAACAGCTGGCGTCAGGGTTGGGATGGAACCCACGACCTCCTGCGTACCAGGCGAGGTAGTTAACATCTCATAGCCACCGTGATGATGATGATGAGAGAGACACCGCAAACTCCAAATAAACAACAGCAGGCATCAGGGTTGGGATGGAACCCACGACCTGTACACCAGGCGAGGGAGTTTTCCCTGCACATTTAGTAATCAACATCACGCGTTTTTGAGTATTTGCCTGATGTAAATGAATGTCCACAGGACGATAATGGACTTCGTTGACAGCCTGGTCGCCTCTTAAAAATAAAACATACACACAGCTCAGTGGGATCCTTGGCTGGTAAAAAATAAATCAAACTAGTGTAGTAGTTTTAGATAAGACCGAAGTTGCAGTGAAATGAGAGAGATGTAGGAGAACAATTGTTGGCGTAGTGTGTGCTTAATCCAGGGTAAATATGTTAATGTGTCGTTAAACCCGCCACCACCCGACACAGCCACTTAAGGAAGATTTGTCACGTAAACAGAACGTGGCCAATTCGTTATGAGTACAGCAACACCGGTTGTGTGTTGGGGAGCTTTGTTAGCGTGTCGGGTGGTGGCGGCTTTAACGACACATTTAAAAAAATATATATTTACGCCATCTAACCCAATATTATGGATATTGGTCGCGGAAGCGTTGTGTTTGCTGTTTCGTTACGCCTATTTGTTTGTGAGTATTATATTTCATTAATCCCACTTCTCTCTCTTCGCTTTGTGCAGTATACAATACAGTCTATATAACAGTATACAATAAGTCTATATAACAGTACACAATACAGTCTATATAACAGTACACAATACAGTCTATATAACAGTACACAATACAGTCTATATAACAGTGTACAATACAGTCTATATAACAGTACACAATACAGTCTATATAACAGTACACAATACAGTCTATATAACAGTGTACAATACAGTCTATATAACAGTACACAATACAGTCTATATAACAGTATACAGTACAGTCTATATAACTACACAATAGTCTATATAACAGTATACAATACAGTCTATTTAACAGTATACAATACAGTCTAAATAACAGTACAGTATACAGTCTATAACAGTACACAATACAGTCTATAACAGTATACAATACAGTCTATATAACAGTACACTAGTCTATATAACAGTATACAATACAGTATATATAACAGTACACAAGACAGTTTATATAACAGTATACAATACAGTCTATATAACAGTACACAATACAGTCTATATAATAGTACACAATACAATCTATATAACAGTATACAATACAGTCTATATAACTACACAATAGTCTATATAACAGTATACAATACAGTCTATATAACAGTACACAATAGAGTATATATAACAGTACACAAGACAGTCTATATAACAGTATACAATACAGTCTATATAACAGTACACAATACAGTCTATATAACAGTACACAATACAGTCTATATAACAGTATACAATACAGTCTATATAACTACACAATAGTCTATATAACAATATACAATACAGTATATATAACAGTATACAATACAGTCTATATAACAGTATACAGTACAGTCTATATAACAGTATACAATACAACAGTATACAATACAGTCTATATAACAGTATACAATACAGTCTATATAACAGTATACAATACAGTCTATATAACAGTATACAATACAGTCTATATAACAGTTTACAGTACAGTCTATATAACAGTATACAATACAGTCTATATAACAGTATACAATACAGTCTATATAACAGTATACAATACAGTCTATATAACAGTATACAATACAGTTTATATAACAGTTTACAATACAGTCTATATAACAGTATACAATACAGTCTATATAACGGTAATGACACGTAAATATTGTTTTAAAAAAACGATCACTTACGATACGTTAATGTTTGACATTTGATTCGTATTGCGTTTAAATTGCATAAAGTTCGATGAATAAATACCGCGCGTTGCTATGGTAACCGTACAGTACACTGTACAGTCTCGATATACGCATTTGTTCGGGACAATAGCGACATAGACCACGCAAAACTTCCACTTGTCCACATGAAACAATTAACGTCTATTTCTTTTTAAAAGATATCTAAATCAACATTTTTTTACACACACAAAATTTAAACTGTACGCAGTGCCGAGCGCTGTGTCCAGTACAGTAGTGGTTTATGGACCAGCGTTGACGCGGGAGGTTTTGGCCTTTGCAGCGTCATATAGGCAAGCCTGCTAAGTTTATAACCTCGCAGTTGTTATTGTGTTTGTCTTCTCTCCACGTTTGTTTATTTTATTAATGTGTTTAGTCTTATTTCAGGGTGATGAAAAGACACAGTAACGACAATGTTAACAATGTTAACGTGCCACTGTATTTGGGCATTGCCACCCGTCTCGTATTTTGCGGAGCGTCCCCGTTACTTTTCAGTAAACTTTATCAAGAATACTAATCTACTGTGATGCTGGTGTACAATTGCCATACTTCACCACGCTGGGTGGTCGCATGCACAAACATTCTTATAGGCTACCTTAAATGGGAAAAAAATATATATAAGATGCGACGTTTTGGGCAATGACCCTCGTGCACCGCTGCCAAATAATGTTATAGGCTACGTGTTGGCAAACGGAGGGCAGTGTATGAAAGTCCACAGCTTTACTTGTACTGTACGTCTTTATACGCCGACGCGTCTGGAGGCCCTCATCCAGCAGTGGATTGGCAATTCCTGTTGTGAAATAAACCCAAGCGGAGGGTAGGTGAGTTTTATAATAATTTCCCATCAGTTAAAACCCTCTGTGACAGCAGGCGTGGGTGAAGTATGTCCAAACAGGCTCCACGAGCGGCACGGTGTAGGGGGAGGAATTAATCGAAGCAGTGGATGGACAACTGGCCCACAAACGTATACCAGTCTCTGACCTGGCCATTAATGTCTCTGACATGATCATTATACTGGTAGGAACCTCCTGGTTACACCGGCCCACAGGGGATTATTGTGTCCGTCCGTCCGTCGTGTATCCAAAAATGGGAGGGGTGGGGCTGGGTGGAGAGGGGAGGGTGGGGAGGGGCTGGGTGGGGAGGAGCTGGGTGGGGGGTTGGAGGGGTGGGGCTGGGTGGGGAGGGGCTGGGTGGGGAGGGGCTGGTCACCCCGTAGTGCCCTTATAAAACTCAACGTTTAACCTACTCACGCCGGCTTGTGCCCGCCCTCACAGTCGGGCATATTTGCGAAATACACCACGTGGTGCTGCCGTTGTTGACCCTGGCCATTGACCGAGCAACCCAACGTTCCTACCAGCTCCCTCCGCAGGAATGTGTTTAAGCAGTATGCTCCACCTCAAAGACAGCTTCAAAATAAATAAATCCAACCGTTAAAGCCAAAAATACATTTGGGTTGTTTAAATAACATAAAGCGGACATTGTCATGTTTAACTCTTTGTCATCTTCATGGCAATAATGATCTTGATTTGAAGCTTTCGTGACTGCAGGAATCCATACTCGCTGTTTCTTTCGGTAAAGTCACGTAGATAGGAAAAATAATAAAAGAACACGACGTTTTGGTCGCAACAAGCTCAATCATTGGAAGGACGTGATAAACCACGTCAAGTTTTAACTGCTGTGAGTGTCACCCACCCGTGCTGTTTCCGTTTACTAATTCAAGCTCATTGACATGCTAATTTCTCCAGCCCCCACCCATCCCTGCATGCCAAAAACCCTCCACCCTCTCCCCCCCGTGAACTCCTGCAGCCACGACTCGACAAAACCCCTCCCGTGCCCATCTAAAGCCACAACAGCAGATCATTCTTTCTCACCTGATGACGGACGCTTGTGTTGCGACCGAAACGTCGTGTTCTTTTATTATTTTTTCTATCTACGTGACTTTACCGAAAGAGCCAGAGTAACAATAATGATGTTTGTATTTACGTAGTGTTGTCGTCCATTTCGTGCAAATTGCATCTCGCAGATGCCGGGGAACCGCAGGCGAGCTGGAAGGCAGCAGCCAGGCGGTGACCTGGCGCTATCAACAACTGCCCAAGCTCTGCAGTGCTCTTTTTATCAAGATGTTTTCAGACAATAATTGTAAAAGTTCATTCGTTTTGCCACCTTTGCCCGTGCCACTTGACGAATCGGCCCCATCGTTGTGTACATTGTCTCCTTTGATCCTGCAGAGTCTCGACGGTGCAAAGTTCAGGGGGCAGCTGCTGATATGCGGAGCCACCAACTGGGATCTGGTTGGGCGGCGGGAAGTGCCTAAGCAACAAGGTCTCTCAGATGCCCCCCCCCCCCTCACCTTCACCCCCCCTCCCCAAACCAACCACACTTTCACATCTGATTCTCCTTTTCCACTAATGGAGGGGGCTCTTGTTCACTGCAAGAGACTGGACAAATCCCTCTTCCTTAAATGTCTCAAGAACCACGGGAAGGCAGCTGTGCCAACTGTACTTGTGAGTCCTAACGAGAGTAAAACCAGTCGACAGTTGTGTCTTTGTTTCACTGCTGTTGACTGGAATGGCCACATTTTCTCAACTTTTTTGGTCGGTGATGTAAAACCACAAAATGGTCACACGTTCAGTTATTTTGAGCCGGTGGTCTCGGCTCTAGAGCACATTGAATGTTGCACACCTTTGTGTGTTGTTAAATAGACACATTTAAGCGTGTTCCTGTGTGTGCTGGCGAGGAGCTGGTGCATCTGCCAGTCATCTCAGTCAACCCATGGCACCTGCTGGGTCTGTCCCGTGACCCCCTGTCACGTGGCCTCAAAGTGCACCTGGCCTGGCACAGGCGCCGTGGTGACATCACCGTCACTTAGTGGCGAATGGCGTGTGTTGGTATATTGGTGTTGGTGCGAGGAGCTGGTAACCCTGCCACGTTAAATTCAGTCACCAACGGACTAGGGAGAGAAAAATGTTAATTCAAAATAAGCATGCACCTGATGCCCCGAGGGGACGACCGTCCATCGTATTCTCCGGCCAAACCCCAATCGGTGGAGCCAGGAGACTGACACCACATTCTCGGGGAGCCGCCAGAAGCAATAGGCAATTGCTAGAGCAGGCCACATGGAATTTCAGATCGCTTGCTGGTGAGGAGAGGTTGTGTTTTTCCTCTGTTGGGAGCTAGGTTGTTACTGCCTAGACCTTTGTGGGATGCAAGGAGGTCTGGTGGATTGGTTCTGACTAATATAATAACAATAGATTAATAGTCCTCTACACAGGGCAAAATGCAATGCAGCAACAGTGAGTAGCTCTTCTGAATAAAATAATGAGGGTAACTGAGAGTTTGGTGTTGGGATATGGGAGGCTGTGAGTTCCGGGCCAATGCAGACTTCCTTCCCCATCAACAGGAGGTGAGCAATGGTGGTCAATAAATCTTTATTATTACGTGCCAATATCGCCCTCAATAAAGAAGGCATCGGTGCACATTACAGCAGAAATGGAACGGTCTAGGGGCACTGTAGATGAATATTTGAAGAGGGATGAATCAGATGCTTTCTATGACCTCTTGTCCCAGGTGTTGGCTAAAGTGGCCCTTCGGAGTAGAGTCATCTTATTAGGTGACTTTAATGCTCGAGCGGGTCATGACACGAGCACTAGGGGTGAGATTGATTGCAAGGCATGGGTCAGATCAGTTCAACGATAATGTTAGCAGGCTGATAGATTTCTGTGCAGTCCATGGGCTTGTAATGGCTAACATATTGTGTAATTGGATGTATGTTGGATCACACCAAGAAAAAACTACTGGACTGTGTAGTGGCTCATGGCCAACAGCGGCGAATATTTGAACCGGTGCTGGGCCTTCCCTGGGTCGACTCAGCCTTAAATGAATAAATGGTGTGGTGTGTAAGCATCAGCAAGCACTGGGGAGACAAAGGTGGTCCGGCATGGTGTTGGCCACACCATCCCCTCAAGTGCCGTGCCAACATTCAGAGGTGTTTGCCGCTAACAGCTCTCGCCCCAACAGCACGTTAAAGGCTACACAGAGGATCTTTGACTTTTGTTATGTATACGAATGTTTGTGTCTGTATCTACTGGCTGTCTATGTGTATTATACGAGTGTCTGTGCGTGCTTCAGCATGTTTTCCTCTGTGTCTGCGAGTCTATAGCTGTATGAGTCTCTCTGTTTACATTTTGGTCTTTGCAGCTGCATTCCGGAATTTGGGCCAGAACCTGTGGGCCCCTCACCGCTACGGAAGTCTCCGTGACATTGCTGTGAGCCGTGTCATCACGGGCCCGTGTGCAGCTCACAGCCTCCTCATCTCCACACGAGGGCTCGTGTACAGTTGGGGTGACGAGCACACGTGTGACATACACAAAGACAAAGATCCCCCCCCGTATAGCCTTTACAGACTGTTGGGGCAAGTGCTGTTAGGGAGCACCTATGAAGGCCGGCACAGCACGCAAAGGGGGGTGGGTGGCCAGCAACATGCACGGACGCCTTTGTCTCCCGAGTGGCGATGTTTACACACCGCACCACGTACTCAATTGAGGCTGAGTCGACCTAGGGGAGACCCATGACTGGTTCAGATAATCATCACTGGTGTTGGCCATGAGCAGGAATCAAATTCGGGTCACTGGGTTCGTAGTGCAGTGCGCTAACCACTACACACACACACTGGTACGGATATAGATATTCACAAATGCACACGGATACAAAGACACTTTTACGCACAGACTTATAAAACAATGCACTGCATGCACACAGGCGCACATGCATTGTTGGGATGAGTTTTGGATTAAAACGTTTCTAATTTCGCAAATACGAGGACAATTAAATATATTTTTCAGAACATTAGCATTTTGCATTAATGTAAAATGTCTTTTGTAAAATGTCAGTGACATCACCTTTACTAAAAAAAGCACAAAAGTGGTGGCATATTAGTGACGTCACTTCAGGATTCTCAGATCAATCTGAATCGACGTAAATTTCATATCTAGGCCTTATTTTGAGATTTTGTTTAATATTCAGAGTAGTCTCTCGATTATCCATGCTAATGTCGGAGAGGATGGCCACATAATTCAACATCGTGGATAATCAAAAATATACCTTTTCCGTGGATTTCTATGCCAAAAAACCACTAACATAGGTTGTCCCACCTGATGAAGATCGTTTGTGTTGCGATCGAAACGTCGTGATTTTATTTTATTTCTACCTACGTGACTTTGCCGAAAGAACCAAAGAGTATGGATTCCTGCAGTCACGAAAGGTTCAAATCAAGATTGAACATAGGTAAAGTTAAGAAAATACTCTTTCGATTTACTAACGATCGACCGATCGATGCGCGTGCACAGTAATAACACTTTCCTGCTCCCGCACAGAAGACGCGACCCATGAAGTGGATGACAGCAGCAGAACCATGCCAATCAGAATCAATCACGTGGATTTCGGATTAACCGGAGCAACATATTTGTTCGGTTGAAGCACGTGAGACTTGTAATAAACATTTCCTGGAAAAACAATTCGTAACTTTTTTGATTATTAATTTGGGCTTAAGGGAAAATCCACGAGTTATTAGTTTGTCAAAATTTCAGGTGCGCGGTTAATCCGCAATATTGGATAAACCGCACGCGGATAATCGAGTCTACTTTATTTAAACAAAAATCAGGAGCAAATTCCTAGTAATAATAGTTAATTACTTCAAATCTTATTATGATTACACTTATTTAGCCAGGAAAGCCTCACTCAGTCTGAAGACTCTTCTTCAAGAGGGTCCTGCCAAGTTTTACGCAGAAGGGGATGATGATGTTTGCTGTGTAATCCTAATTGAGTAATTTTCCGGTATTTTGTTCAACATTGGGATGTTTGGTCTGCAATGGGTTACATTGTATGTTATTTTAGCCACTCCAACAGCCTGTGTGTTTTAGAGAAGGACCTTTGTCTATTTTGTGTGTGTACGCATGCATCTAAGTGCTCGCTAACAGCAATCGCCCCAACAGTATGTAAAAGGTTTTAGGGGGATCTTTGTCTGTGTGCCCCATGGGGGAGCGGTAGTGTAACGATTAACGCACTGCACTATGCATCTGGTAACCTGAGTTCTGTTCCCGTTCAAGACCAATACCAGTGCAGAATATTTTAACTGGTTCAAGGCCTCCCCTAGGTCACCTCAGCCTAAAATAAGTACCTGGTACGGTAGGTAAACATGAGCACTGGGGAGACAAAGGCAAACGGGCGTGGTACGAGCCACCCACCCCTTTGTGCACCATGCCAGCCTTCATAGGTGCTCGCTAACAGCACTTGCCCCCAACAGCCTGTGAAAGCTATACGGGGGATCTCTGTATTTACCTTTGCAGGGCGGGGAGAGAAAGGGCAGCTGGGTCACGGAGACACATGTCGTGTGGACGTCCCTCGAATCATCGACACGCTCAAGGAGTGCGTGATCGTGGACGGGGCTTGTGGGAGGAGTCACACGCTGTGTCTCACAGGTGAGCTTACCTGTGTTCTCACATCCTCACCACCTCACCTGTGAGTGCAGTTAAAAGCCAACGGATCCCTGTCAGGTTAGTCACGTGTCCCTGTCGTGCGGCAGGTCACCCGCTGGTAACATTGCTGGTATCTCCTGCGGTAACAACCATTGAATTGTTACACGCCCACCCTCCCCTCTGACCCTCCCCCTGGTTGTGAAACTCCCCACTGGTGCTCCCCTCTCTGCCCCCCCCCTCTCTGCCCACCCCTCTCTGCCCACTCCCTCTTTGCCCCCCAGCTGTGGAATTCCCCACTGGTGCCCCCCCTCTCTGCCCCCCCCAGCTGTGGAACTCCACACTGGTGCCCCCCCCCCCTTTCTGCCCCCCACCCCCCCAGCTGTGGAACTTGTATATATAAGCCTTTTTCCATTTTTTTATATTAAGAATGAGTTTATCAATTTTTTTCTCGTGGTGTCACTTGGAGGCCAGAGGGGGTGAGGTGAACAACCCCCTCCACTCACAGCAGCCGCCATTCTCACACACAACAGGCCGCCGGAGATAGCAATGAAAAGTAATAACCCCAAAACAAAGAGAAGGGGGGGGAATTCCTAATGAGAGACTAAAAAAAAATCCCGACACGGCTTCAAAGCCTCGCCAGCTTCCAGGGCGGCGAAAACCGGACAGACAAATTTTGGTTATTTTAATTAACAGAAAGTCCAAGAAAAACTCAGCAACAAGAATAAGCTGACATTATAGGAATCTACACACTCGCTACGATAAAAAAAAACCCAGACTACAATCTACATAGCGGGTTATTACTTCTCATACATAATATTAATACTAACGTTATTCACCTTAAATTATATTACATCTTGCCGTTTACGTGACTTTACAAAAACCAAATAAATGAATTCCAGCAGTCAAGAAGCTTAACCGAAACTTAGTTATACCTCTAAAACTCAGGACATCAAAAAATGACTCGAGTATAACAGCACGGATCCCCGGATACAGACTGGAGGACGAAATTAATAAACCCTAAGAAATGCGTGGTGATGATAATGTTATATCACAAATCTTGGGAAACATAAACCAAATAATTATGCAGTATTAAACCGAGGGTTATCCAGGAGAGATGAGGCGAAATAGGTCAAACTTACACAACCAAGAGAAACTGTATCCCATAAGAAAAGAGCCTCCCAACCGTCTTTGTCTTCCAACAGCACGGGATAGCAAAGAATGTAATGCCCAGAGCGAGGGAAATTACTCTTTTATTGCAGGGGGGCATCTGTGTTCCACGGATGAAAAGATGGCTTGGGGAGAGACACAGATGGCTTAATAAATGACACACACACACGGACACACGTACAACCCCCCCCCCCCCCCACAACATTGAGCGAGATCAAAGGAAGTTCCAGTCCTTTGTGAGAAGGCGAGCAGAGAAATAAATTTTGGCATGAAAAGAGAGACACGGGCCATACATCGTATCACAGCTACCAGCGGCAGAAGACGGCAGCCATCAGCTACCGAAGATGACCATCTACCGAAGATAACAGCCAGCCACCGACACAGAAGAAGCTTACCAGCAGAAGAAGAATCCGCAACTCATCCAGGATGGCGAGGCTCGCTGAGTTGCGACATGCTACGCCGTGCAAATTCAGCGCCATCAGATGTAGTATCGCTCGAAAATCATTCCGCTCTGGGCATCGACTCACAAGAGCCACTGCAGTTCGAGCTAAGCTGACGAGAATTCCAGCAACATCCGCGAGAGAGGGCGGAAAGCGCCAAACGTCGACCAAGCCTGCCATCAACAAACGAAAGCAATCGACACCGCCAGACAGACGGAGCAGGAGAGAGCACGCCGCAGCGCCACCAGCGCCACCAAGCAAGGGTATCAGCTGCCAGCGGACGAGCTGTGGGTGCTACCTGATGACTTGATCATCGCGCACCGATGGCGAGCGTCGTGCCAACTCTTCCAACCAGCTGTGGACCGAACTCCGGCCGCCCGTGTGAAAGAAGGAGAACCCAGCTATCCGTATGATACGCACACTGCCACACATTACAACGCAAAGAATTGACGCAGAGAATTGATCAAGAACACATCCCCACTCAACCCATACCATCCCCATTCAACACATACACGAATCATTAATAAGAAGACTCATGATAAGTGCGTCAAGTATCAACTGATAACGAAGAACACGGTTGCCATTGGGTTACGGGGAAACGGTCGTTTAGAAGTATTTTAGTAATAATAGGGTTTTTCCCCTTTTTTTCTGGCAACAAAACTTAATCCGTTTTACAAGGATTCATGTCTGCATTAACCACAATACCTGCAGTCAAAATGCCAACAAAAAACATACTATGATAATATATGCATTGTCCTTGAAACTGATTGGTCCACACCAAGGGGCGACTGTCTCTTGAGCGTCGACCCAATTGGTGCTCGACCAGATGACGCCAGAAGGCGTACAGCTCAAAGACAATGCACTATCAAAGTATTGAGGGCTCGGGGTGAGCATCTACATCATTAGACCTCCTTTGCCAGTACCAAAATGTAATAATAGGGTTTTTCCCCTTTTTTTCTGGCAACAAAACTGAAACCTTTTTACAAGGATTCATGTCTGCATTAACCACAATACCTGCAGTCAAAATGCAAACAAAAAACATTATGATAATATATGCATTGTCCTTTTTTTTTGTCCCAACTAAAAACTAATTTTAAAGAAATAAAAAAGATTCCTTCTATTTGGCATTGCACCTCTCCGGCCCAATTTCTATTCCCACCCAATTCGTTCTTATCTTTGTCCTTTTCACGCACGGTACCTTGACACATTGTGAAAGGCGCCCGATAAAGTGCAAACGATTATTTTTACGCTGCCGGGTGGACAAAGGCAGGGGAATAAGAAAACAAGTTAAATAGAAACTTGCCCCATTATTCAACTGCCGTGCCAAGAGATTGAACCACACCGGCTACATTTCGATTAATTGCAAGTCCAGCTTTCTGACTATTTCTTCACTGTGGCAGCATCTCCTCTTTCCTGAGTAATTATCACAAAAAACCCCTTGGTGTTCTGCATGGGAGGCACTGTATTCATAGTAAATGGTGATGCTAATGCTGATGATGACGACAACGATGATGATGGTGATGATCCGCTGGCGTGACCTCAGACACGGGGACCGTGTATGCGTTTGGAGAAAACCGTCTTGGGCAGCTGGGTCTGGGAAACCAAACGGATGCCGTGCCAAGCCCAACGCAGGTAACGTCAGCACTTTACATTTATAAGTGTGTGTGTGTGTACGTGTTTTGGCACATGCCCAACCACCGCATGCCCAAGGAGCTTCTGTTTGACCAGATAGAGGGAGCTAAATGGACACGACACGGGCTAGAGAAGAGATGGACTGATGCGGTATGGGAGGATGTGGAGCTAAGTGGGCTTACTGTCAAGATTGGCCTCGATGGAGGAGGCTTGTGAAGGATGCTGCTGGGCAGTTGGAGGCAGTCGCCCTCTAACAATAACGGAGGGCAGAGAAATGATGCTCACAACAACGAGAGGAATTTCGGGTGGCTAAAACGCAGCAAGTTGGCACAGTAGGGGGCACAGCTGGTGCATCTGCTGGTCATCTCAGTCAACCCACAGCACCTGGGTCTGTTCCGTGACCTCCTGTTAGCGAGCCTTCGACAGTTCATGTGGCTTCAAAGTCCACCTGACTTGGTACAGGCGCCGTGGTAACGTCACCGCCACTTGAAGGCAAATGGTGGCTGTTGGCACGGTGGGGAGTACAGGTGGTGCTACTGTCGTGTCATCTCAGTAAATCCATAACATCGGGACCTTTCCCGTGACCTCCTGGGTCTTTCCAGTGATCTCCTGCCAGTGAGCCTTCCACACTAGATGTGGCCTGGAAGTGCATCTAGCCTGGCACAAGCGCCGTGGTGAAATCACCGCCACTTTGTGGGAAATGGTGTTGTATATTATTATTAATAATTGATTTTTGGGTGATGCCACGCAATAATCTGACTAAATTGTGTAGTAAAGACCCTCCACCACCCTACGCGGCCAAGAAAATGTAATTGTCGAGTGTAAAAGTGTTTAGCATGCCAATTATTATCGTTTCAGATCACCGGTAAGTTTAATATCATTTGCACAGGCAAATGTAGTAATCGGGTATGAGGTGTCATTTAAAACTGCACTGGCCATCCTTAGGTCAGGATCCAGGATTGTATTGTGACTTCCTGGCTTCTGACTTCCTGGATGCTGGGTGGTGGAGGGTTCTTAATGACACAAATATGGCAAGACACAAATATGGCCTAGTGCAAAAATCTATTCTAAAACTGCACATTGTTTAATGTTTTCCACTCTTGACTTATTCTGACTTCCCAGGCCCTGTCACAGTGAGGCTTGATGTACTTGAACTTTACAATGTACTACTATTTAACTAATGAGTATATTACCAGGTAAGGCCCACTGCCCAGTATACAGTAGCTCTTTTTCAGAAGTGACCTGGTCACAAATGATAGCTCAACGAAGTGGCTTATAATGTAGAAACTTAGAGCAGCCAAATTTCTTGAAACGCACGTTGATCTTACATGTGGAGGGAAAAATCAGAACGCCTAAAGAAAAATCCACATCACCATGGGGAGAACATGCAAACTCTTAATATACAGCAGGCATCAGGGTTGGGATCAAACCCACGACCTATATACCAGGCAAGGTCATTAACATCTAGCCACTGTGGTGCCCTGTATTGATAATATGAGTAGAGAGATGCAGTGGGTTCGATCCCGACCCTGACGCCTGCTGTATGTTTGGAGTTTCTGGTGTTTCTCTTTCTCCCTGTGGTCACTTGGATTTTTCTCCAGGTCCTCTGGTTTTTACTTCCACATTTATAATCGACATGCCTTTAGAGTATGTTGATTCTGAAATATACAGGCGTCAGGGTTAGAATTGAACCCACAACTTCCTGTATACCATCTACGCCACCGTGGCGCCCATAAATATCGTGTATAATTTCTAAGTTGGGTTGTTATTTTAACACGTAGGCTTTCGCGACCAATATTATTCATAATAAAGGTTATTATGGGTTGTTATTCTTTTTCCCGTGATTTAGAAGTAAGCGTCTATACGAATGATTAAGAAGCTGTTCAAGTGCGTGTGACAAGGTCGCATCCGTGAACATTGCAGGAAAATGATCGTTAGACAATGGGTGCCGACGGTTAACTTCCTTTCCCCTGCCACTCATCCCCCTGCGTCCCCCCCCCTACCCACCCCCCCTGGCCCCCGCCGCATGCAGATAGTCTACAGCGGGAGGCAGGTTGTGAAGGTGGCTTGCGGTGCGGAGTTTAGCGTCTTCATCGACTGCGACGGGAATCTCTTCTCCTTCGGCTGCCCAGAGTATGGACAGCTCGGTACGGCCACACCACAAGTGGGGGTCATTGTGGCACTCCCTGGGCTCTTACCGGCAGCTCAGTTCACTTCAGTTCATTTTGAAGTACCCTGTGAACTCAGAAGCTCTTGTTGAATCGGGTTTCATCAGCAAAAAGCATCGGTTCTCTGCCAAGCATAAGATAATGGTCGCAAGGAAAATGACGATAGAAACAAATACGTGAGAGAAAAATGGCAACAAATCACATAATGTAGCATCCTGCCAACATGCCAACCGAGACGCTGCGGTTGTAACGGTTATCGCGCCGGACTTACGATCCAGAGATCACCGGTTCAGGTGGAAACGATGCCGCAAAGTTTATGAAAATCCTCAACCCCTCAATCCTCCAACGCCTCTACCCACCCGGTAACGTGGCTGGGCCCAACCACGTTTAGGCGGCGGCGATAATGGGGTAAAGCGTGGGGCACTCCCGGCCTCTTACAAGACGTGTGGCCAGCGTGGAAGAGTAGGCCAAAACACCCTCTCGAGTGGCTGTTTATAGTTGCTTCTTAGTGTGGAGGCCCCTATTGCCAGCAGGGCTCCACCTTTACATGTGCACGTGGAGACCAGCCTAGTATCACTCGGGATGCAGTCAATCTCGTCAGATTCTCAGCAGCTAAGCCAGCCTGAGCCTGGATAGGGCTTGGATGAGCGATTGCAATGAACACAACTGGTGGATTTTTTTTCTTCCCAGGGGGCAGTGTAGAAAAATCTGTTGTTGCATTAATCTTCTATGCTATCACGTCTATGTTGACTTCACCTACCTGCACTGACCAGCGCAGTGAAGTATGGTCAAATTGTTCCCACGTCACATGTGATCCTCATCCAGCAGTGGCTTTATAAAGCGCTGTGTGTGTGTGTAAATGGACACATGGTACAGTGCCAAAATGTCACTCAAAGTAATTAAGTGCTCGAATATATCGGTGTCTTCATACTGTGCGTGTGCGTTACCGATGGTTGGAGCGGTAGTGTAGCAGTTAGTGTGCTGCACTACGAACCCGGCGACCCGAGTCCAATCCCGCTCACGGCCAACACCAGTGATGATTATCTGAACTGGTCCTAGGCCTCCCCTAGGTCGACTCAGCCTCAAATGAGTACCTGATGCGATGTGTAAAACATTTCCACTAGGTAGACAAAGGCGGCCGAGCGTGGTGCTGGCCACCTACCTCGTGTGCCATTTTGGCCTCCATAGGTGCTCGCAAACAGCACTTGCCCCAACAGTCTGTTAAGGCTATATGGGGAATCTTTGTCTTTGTTACCGATGGTTGGAGCGGTGGTGCAGTGGTTAGTGCACTGCACTTTTTCCTGAGTTCGATACCTGACCAAGGCTAATATCAGCGGCCAATGACATCTCAACTTGTCTTGGGCCTCCCCAACGCGGTGGTGAGATGATAACTCCCTCACCTGGTATGCAGGAGGCGCGTGGGTTCGATCCCGACCCTGACATCTGTATATTTGGAGTTTGCATGTTCTGCCCATGGTCATGTAGATAAGCCACTTCGATGAGCTATCATTTGTGGTCAGGTGAAAGAGAGCTATATCGCTCAGGGGACCTTGCCTGGAAATATAAAACATAGTTTCATTGTTTTAACCTCATCATGAACTTGGCCACACCATTCCATATTTCTTAGGTACTCGATAAATAGCACTCGGCCCTACAGCGGTGCTCGTGGTTACAAGAGGGATCTTCGTCTCTGCGCTCAGGCCACAACACAGATGGGCGCTACATCGTGCGGGCGCAGAGGATAGAGTTTGTGTGCGAGCTCGCTCCGCGTCGACTGGCGAGATTCATCGAGAAAACGCGCGATGGGCAGGTGCTCACTGTACGGGGCGTGGTGGTACGAGACGTGGCATGTGGGGCCAACCATACGGTACGTGTGTGTGTGTGTGCGTGCCCGCTCACGGCCAACACTGGTAACGATTATCTGTATTGGTCCTGGGCCTCCCCTAGGACGACTCAGCCTCAAATGAGTACATGGTGCGGTGTGTAAACTTCGTCACTGGGGAGACAAAGGCGGTTGGGCGTGGTGCTGGCCAACCACCACCTCGTGTACCGTGCCGACCTTCAAAGGTGCTCGCTAACAGCACTTGCCCCAACATTCTGTTGAGGCTATACGGGGGGTCTTTGTGTGTGGTGGTGCAGTGGTTAGCACGCTCCGCTATGAACCCGGCGATCCGAGGTCGATTTTCGCTCATGGCAACACCAAATTACGATTATTTGAACTGGTCCTGGGCAACCCCTAGGTCGACTCAGCCTCAAATGTATACCTGGTACGGTGTGTAAACATCGTCACGGGGGAGGAAAAGGCGACTGGGCGTGGTGTTGGCCACCGACTGCATTGTGTGCTGCGTTGGCCTTCATAGGTGCTCACTAACAGCGCTTGCCCCAACATTCTATTAAGGCTATACAGGGAATCTTTGTCTTTATGTGCATGATTTACCAGTTCATGACCAGCTCAGATTTGGCAGTGGAGGTATCACATCAAATCATTCGAGCAGCAGTGTCTATTCATCGGTTGTCTAACGCTGTGTGGCAGCTGCCTGGCCTGTCGCTCGACACGAAGCTTCGGGTCTTCTCGGCCATTGTCATGCCCTCCCTTCTCTATGCTTGCGAGACGCAGACCCCTTTACAGAAACATCTGTGCCGGTTTTAAATATTCAGGGCAGGCTTGCCTACGATCCATCCTGGGTGTAACCAGGATGGATTGTGTGAGGAGCTCACAGATCCTTGATAGGTCTTGACACTGTCTCATCAGTGAGCTCCTCCAGCAGGCGAGGATACATTGGCTTGGTCATGTAGCCCGCATGCCCAGTCACGGCATTTCTTAAGCAACTTCTGTTTTGCTGGATAGAGGTGGCGAAACGGTTTTGGCATGGGCAAGAGAAGAGATGGGCTGATGCGGTATGGGAAATTTTGGAGCTGATTGCACTTGCCGATGACCGGCACCAGTGGTGTTCAGATTGGCCACCGTGGAGGAGGCTCGCGAAATATGTCACGAGGAAGTTGGAGGCATTCGTCCTCTTGCAACGAATCTGATAACCTAGTATACACACTTGTTTCTACTGAGACCATTAGGGGTCGACCCTAATGCATGCACGCGCACGCGTACGCGCAGATCGCGCTGGACACGCGGGGCCGCGTGTTCACGTGGGGTTTCGGAGGCTACGGCCGCCTGGGCCACGCCGAGCAGAAGGACGAGCTGCTCCCGCGCCTCGTCAAACTGCTCGACCGGCCGGCGCCCGCGGTCAACTCGGTGCGCGCCGGCTACTCCTGCACCTTCGCCATCAACGTCGTGGGTGAGCGCTGGCGGTTTGACTGCCGCGGCGGCAGTAACGGCGGTAGCAGTGGTTCCCCGTCCGCCATCCCTCCGGCTGAGTGTCTTCGCACTCGCCGGTCGTCCTTGAATGATGACGGTTGACGGTACCGGACCTCGGTGGTTTTACGGCGACTATTCTGAGCATTTAAATAATGGTTCGGAACTACCGTGTTAAACGATGATCGTTCTGAACAAAAGGTCGGACTGTGCAGTCCTGAACAATTCTGAATGACGGATCTGAACAAAAGCACTTCTGCACTCGCGTTACCCTTAATGATGATTCCGGTGAATGATTTTGAATAACGGCTGTGTTGAACTGCGATGATTGTGAAAACGTCTCACGCTTGTGAACACTGCCTGCAGGAACGCTTTACTTCTGGGGCTCCACCAACACGTCACGTGACCCGACCATGTACCCCAAGGCCGTCCACGACCTGTGTGGCACCCACGTGCGCAGCCTCGCATGCGGGTGAGGCTCACTCGCTCACTTGCCCGTGCGCCCGCTCCATCGCTTGTTCCACACTCTCACTCGCTCGAGCAACCAACTTGTTCAACTACTCCCTCGTTTGCTCACTCACTAAACAACACACATGCTCATCATGTGTGTTGTTTACTCCACAAAACGACACTCCCCCCCCCGTTACCCAATCACACGCTGAAAATGGATCGCACGCATCGTCACTAAATGGCGTGCTCGCTCATTCACTCGCTGAAACGTTCGCTCCGTCCAAAAACCGCACGCGCAATCTCTCACTCGCTCGCTCGCTCAACCAGCGTGCGCACACACATGTGTGAACACCTGTACATGCTTGCCTGTGCGTGCATACCTGTGCCTGCTTGCCTGTGCGTGCTTGCCTCTGTATGTGTGTCTGTGCATCAGTAAAAGCAGCATCCTCATCACGTCAGATGAAAGCACCATGAGCTGGGGCCCATGGCCAACGTACGGAGAATTGGTGAGGCCCTTCCCACCATGTGAAATGTGCACACACACACACGCACGTGTACACAAATTGCTCCATTGAGATTACGCGCGATAATCATTGCCAAACCAATACCAATTTGCAGCCCCGGTGCCGAGTCACCTGATGCCCACAAAGGGGCAGCTGCCACTCGTTGCATGTGAAGCGTTCTGAGATGCTCCGGTATCTCGTCACCACGTACGGCCCTTTTAGTCAGTCCACTCCTGCATGAGCGCCTTCCCTCGCCCCTGTGGATCGCGGGGGGTTACTTTATCGCAATTCAATGTGGGTTGTTGATGGTCAGTGTGGGTTGGCAAACGTACGGAGCGTAGGGCCGGAAGCATGTAAGTACAGTACAGCAAATGGGTTTTTTGCAGCTCCGCTCTCAGCTGCACACCAACATAGTCCAGCAAGCCACCTGTGGCACGCTGTTTGTTTTTTTTGTGGTCGTCCGTGTTAGCGCATCCAAAAGACGTGGAGACTCGGACCAAAGCTTTTATTTGAGCCGGGCAAGGCCCCATTGAGCCCAAGCAACTCTGTTTCAAGCATGACCACAGCCCAAGGCCGGCGACTGCAGTTGCTAGGAAACGGCGCAACTCTCTTCGCACGACGACACGGGTTCCTTAGCATCCGCCTGCGTGGTAGACGGCGCGCATTATTTTTACGGTTTGTACGCGCGTTTGCAGGTAATAGCCGGGGGTGGCCAGCCGGATTCGAATCGCAAACCTCCGCACCAAGCGGCGAACCGCGCCATCACTGCGCTGGGCCCCCCCCCCGCCCACCGTAAGAGAGCGAATCTAAGGGCAGCATTTCCTGCTCCTGCGGGCCGGCGCAGGAGCACGCTTGCTCCCGTTGCGGCCGCAGCGTCCGCGTTTCGCTCCCTCGTTACCCCCCGCTTGTTGGTTTCTGTTGTGTTACGCGCAGGGCTACGGCGAGGGAAAGCAACGCTCCTCCTCCATGCCCCAGGAGCTCAAGAAGCTCAGTGGCATCCACATTCACGAGGTGACTCCCCTCACAGCTCATGGCTACAACACTGGCAGGCATTCGATGACAACAATGGCTCGCCTACCTCTTCTCTACCGCTTATCTATTCTCTCTTATCACCCACTCTCTTCCTCTGCCCTCCAATCTTTGCTGCCCCTCCGCTAGCATTTCATGGTCCTGGTACAGATGGGCCAATATAACAGGGAGTGGGCGGGGGGAGACGTACAAACTCCACATGCAGAAAAGGCGCCCTGAGTCGTGAATCGAACCCAGGCTCCTCTTTGCTGCGAGCGTTACCGCTGCGCTGCCACCCCGCCACTGGAACACGGCACGACACATCCACCGCTAGGCCTTTTTGTCAATCCGCTGCTGGATGATGGCCTCCCCATGTCGTCGTGAAGGGGTTGTGGGGGGGATCTGACCACACTTTAACACGCTGGCCAGTGTGGGGTTGGTAAAGGCTTGGAGCAAAGCTGTGTGAGCATAGAAGTACAGTACAACGATGATTTTTTTCTGTACTGCCTTCTGCTGTAGTCGCGTAGGCTATAACAACCTGTTGTGCACAGTGGTCACCCATCCAAGCGCTATCCAGGTGCAAAATTTGCTTAGCTTCGAAGATCTGACAACATAGCATTTGAGGTAAATTGGAATATGATTGGAGATGCACATTCAGGCAATTCTTCTTCTTTGGTTCTTTCGGTAAAGTCACGTAGAATGAGACCGAAACGTCGTGAGAATTTTATTGTGTTATTTTATTTTATTAATGTATTCTTTTATTCTCATTCTACGTGACTTTACCAAAAGAACCAAAGAAGATGAATCCTTGCAGTCACGAAAGCTTTAAATCGAAATGCAGGCAATTGTTAATGAATACTTTCCAACTAAAATTGAGAGCATTCATGCTCTGTCCATAATAACTCTGGTAAAGATGGTCCAATCTAATTGAAACTCCAGGACAGTGTTCTTCATTGCAAGGCCTGCGGGCCACTGGCGGCCTTTAGTGCGGCCCTTCTGAAAAATACACAAATAGTGAAAACACCCCCCCCATCATCTTCAAACTCTCAGTGGTTTCAAATAATGTGTGTAGCGGACCTCACACTGATGATGTCTTATCGGCGAAAGTGGCTTCCCTCCCCGCCGCTGAACATTAGTGAAGAACACCGCTCTAGCATGACGTTGCGTTGCCTTTTAGGGTGCTACCCTATAGGAAACTGCGAGAGATTAATCAAACGGTTGCCCTAAAAACTGGAGACGAGAACCGGCGCTATAAACGGGACCCGTCTCAGCGTCGGCGCCCCAGTTTTGCCGCCTCTGCTGTCCTCTTGCTCTCCGCCGCCGCCCTCCCCTCCAAATGACGTCATTACTCTCGCGAAGGAGTTTAACGTGAACATCGCGCGACCTCGCCCGGTTTGTTGCACATAGATGTCAACCCATACGGTTTACCCGTATTCTTGTACAGGGAACTTAAGTGTACATCCGTTTCATACAGACGTTTCAATATGGGAAAAACATTTTTGTTGTTTTCTGTTTGTGTTTCTCTCTTGTGATGGGACTTTGTAGGATGAACGTTGAGATTTCTAAGGGCACGGGGTGACCAATGAGGTCTGAATTGGTCTGTAATAAGGTAGGCCACTAATAAGGGGTCAACAGGTATGATGGTGCGACGTCACCGGCCGCTGATTAAACGATGCCCCAAGGATGGGAAAAGCGCATTTGGAGAGAGAGCGGCCAGCCGCGGAAGCCGTGAAATGTTACAGAATTTTCTCTACCCCCCCCCCCGGTCCTCGTTTTGCGCTGTGCAGGTGGCGATGGGATTTGCGCACTCCCTACTCTTGGCGCGGGACGACTCGGAGGAAGACAAAGCTCTTGTCCGTCAGATCCCAGAGTACTGCCCCCGTGCGCTGTGATTAAGTCTGCCACTAGCACGCCGGTGTTACTGTCGTGGAAAAAAATATTTACTTTTGAAAAGATGTCCCGACTGTTGAGGTGGCCGGGTGGCTCAGCGGTGCAGAGCGCTGAGCCGACACCGCTGACAATCCTCTGGGTACAGAATCCACGTGACAGCTGCCTGTGATTTAGCCGGGTTCTCAGGTGCGGTGAGTTTGGTGGTCTCAGTCCCGGTCACCAACGAGTGCAGACACGCACACACAAAAAAACATCGCCGTGAAAATGAGCTTTGACACTCCATTGAGCTTATTTACAGCTCTGAGAATGAAAATATCGGTTTGGCTCGCTTGTGACAAACATTGCCCTCACATGGCAGAGTGGGTGGGAAATTGCTGTCCCATCCACTGTGTGGACCAGAGGTCACTGAAGGAATCTCAGAGGTAGCTCGGTGATATCTGCTTCCGTGGGCTGTTTTTAAACACGAATGGATGCACTGCTCTGCGTCTCATTGACGCGACGCAGATAGCGCAACCGGGGATAAAATTGAAAGTGATCTCACTGCTTGCCACTTCGAGGTCAAGAAGCTGTCATAGGCAGTGGCCCACCTATGCCATCACACACTAATCTGTCACTTCCTTTTCACAGTTGCCACAGCTGCTGCACAGCTGCTGCACAGGTGATACACCATCTGGAAGGTCTGCTTCTATAGTACCACCACCTGGCTTTATGTCTCCCACCCGTCACAACGTCGATGTGTCCTTCGAGGGCCACTGTTAAAGTCTCGTGTACAGCCCATTTGTCGCTCCACTGCTGGACCGAGGCCTCCCTGCATTTCACTTGGACTTCTTTCTGTTGGCCATAGTGTAGCCCCGCTACCCCCCCCCCCCCCAACTCTGAGGACATTTACATCGGTCGGTGGGGCGCTGTGTCTGTCTTTCGGCTTTCATGAGCGTTGGGATAAAGCAGGTGGTGGTGGGGGTGGGGGGAGGAGTCAATTGTCGTCAGGGCCTAAGTGGGCTTTCACGCGGTGTTGATTACGGCCCGGAATAAGTGATGCAACAAAATATATCCGTCGATGGAGCGACGGTGTTTTTTTTTGTTTAATGATTGTAGTCGACGATGACTGCCGGTGAGCAGACGAGAATCATCGTGCGTGACGACGGCAGCGAGGCCAAAGTGGCAGACCGAGCGTCGTGACGGGACGGGACTTGCGGAGTCCGCGTTAACGCGTGAACGCGTGAACGCGTAAGCGGGCCGAGATGGTTTAGTAGCGTCGCCCTAGATGAGAGACTCCAGTGCACTGATAAGACCAAACTCTCTATACGTGACCGTACGGTATAGACGAACGTTCATTGAGTTATTCGATTGGCTGAACTGATGATTTTAATGGGAGGGCTGGAATTGCTCGCCCCTTACCCCCATATTCAATAACGAAGGGTGTTTGACTGAATGGTTTGATGAGTTGACTAGACCCAGAGAATGACAGGAAACTCACAATCTTAAGACTTTCTCTAAAACTCCAAAAGGCTACCTTTGATTAGTCCAAGACAATGACCAAAATGACATGTTTAAAAACAAGTTAACACTGTTAACACAGTGGATTGACAAAAGCGGCTGTACATTCATAATAAACAAATATGTAAACAAACAAAAAGATCTAATTGTGTTGTGCTTTAATGACCCTGTACTGGGTGGCTTGAAAGTCAGGACACACGGGGTTATATTATGTTTTGGTAAACAAATCACATAGGGTTATTTAACTTTTTAAACAAATGTTTAAACAGACTTATATTAACATGAATGCGTACATGAATTGTCTTTTGAAATTAATCTCGGACTTGTTCAAAGACTACTGGTGTCATCTTTGAACATTCATCAATGGTGTTTTCGTCTCCATTCAGGGTTCGTGATCGAGTTTTGTATGCAACGTATATGAGGTGTCCCCCACAGGAAGAATAAAAAATATATTTATTATCATAGCTAAAAACGTTAACTTTAACGATAAACAATGAAAACGTTTTAATGCCAGTGTTGAAATAAGTTAAACAACCCTGTGTCCTGACTTTTGGGCCACCCCTGTACATGAATTACTGACGCAAATTCAAGAGGGTTACTGCCACGTGGACCTTTGGCGGTTGAGCCGGAGAATGCTCTCGCGACGCCTTTTCCCGGTGCCGCACCGTGCGTTGTTCGGCACGAGGAAGAAGTTCCCCTGCCTGGCGTGTGGAACGGAACGTCGGACATCGCGCCGTGCAGGGCGCAAGCGTGAAAACGCCCCTCCCCGCCACACGGCAGAGGGAAGCTGAACCGTAGGGATTGCTGCGGCCAATAATACCATCGATGCCGCTGTGCTTTTGCCATGTTTGTTTTAAAAGTCTTCGGCCGTATCCCTACAGTTTGATTTGAGCCCCCCCCCCCCCTTGCAAAAGGGGGGGGGCCTCGGTGGGTATAGTCGCAGTGTCAAGTCAAAATCCAAAGCTACGGTGCCTGCAAATAAACCGCGAGGCGACTTGGTGACCGATTGTCCCTTTGTGATATCGTCACTCGGGTTGACAAGAGTGGCACTGCCTTGTCGGCAGTCAACAGACAATTCTCCTTTGAAGGAGGAATGGACGAGATCCACTCTGCTTCTGAACAGACAATTGAGTGAATAACAAATCTAAAATGACATTTAATCTGCTGCTATTAATCCACACTAAAGAAGAAGTCAACACTGCTTTTAAGTTTGTTGCAGGTGAGAACTCAGAGACCAGGATTGGAAGTTTCATTTGCAAGAGTGACCGGGGGCCCATGAGTGTGCCAGTAGGGGGAAGATGATTGCTGCTGCTGCTGCTACTGCTGTGTAATCCCAATTGAATAATTTAAGATGTCATTTTCGAATTTGGAAAAAATGTCCAATGGGAACCCTGTGTGTGTACTCAAGTGTACGCTGTCACTTTAACCGCTCTCGTAAACAACTGGTCGTAATAAAAGCAGCCACACGTGCAATTAAATTTTCAGAAATTCCTTTTTAATGAGTTAAATTCAGAAAGAACAATCACCGGCTTTCGCTTCACCTCCGCTAATGAGATGTTAATGAGAGGTCATAACGAAAGCACGACCGGCGATGATGAAGAGGGATTACAGATGAGTGGAGATGAATGGAGATGAGTGGACTTCGGTGGGGAGGATGGGGGAGGGGTTCAAAGAACCCCCCCCCTTTCTTCTTCCCCTCATCTCCAACGCCTTCACCCGCCACTGGCGTCTGCTTAGACACGGTTGATACCCATGATCTGGAAGAGGGTTGGGGAGAGGGTCACGAGGGCAAAAGTGAGATGCTTCAAGCGTTTGGCAGGGGTGATCGCCGGCAACCGACCGATTGTCACGCACATGTAAATCTCCATCGTAGTGTCGCCAAGTCAACGCCCGACCTCAAGGGTCTGCTCTGATGGACCAACCATCACCACAGTCTGGTTCTTGGGTCTTCCCCTCTTGTTATGCAGTCCACATTATTATGTATTACGCTTGTTTACCCAGGGAGGATTCACCAAGCCTCAAGAATCATTTTCAGTGGGGTCCTGACTTATTTTAGCATTAGGGGTAGCCCCATTGAGTAATTTGCAGGTGGCATGTAAACTTTTTTAGCGATGGGAGGAAACAGGACAACCCCAAGGAAAGCGATGCGAAACAAGGGGAGAACACGCAAACTCCAGATAGAAAGGCGCTCAGTTTGGGAATCGAACCCCAGCCCTTCTTTGAGTTACAAGCGTTAACCATTGTGCACCACACTGCCCTCTCCGACACGACAAGTCACACTGCTTGCTGCCCAATATCCATGTCCTTCGAGGGGTGCTCTTACCGTCTCACCACCAAGACTGGATTTAGGGGTTTCCCCCTTGGCCGAACGGGACCAAGGTAACTGTTGGATCCCTGGGCTCAGTGTTAATTCCTGAGGCTGAGACGGCCAGACTAGGGCATCTTGAATGCTGCTCGGATTAATCTTCAGTGCCAGACAGGCTTATAGAGGTAGATCAGGGGCGCCTGTGCTGTTCCTGGGGCTCAGGTGTTAATGCCAGAGGCCCCCTGCCGCCCCAAACCATCCCTACGTTACGTCAATTGTCGCATCCCTCCGGCACACGCACCAGCGATTACTTCTGACTCGCTATCCGTTTTCTCCTGCGGCGGCAATTTACGATCGCACCACGACCGCAGCCCCACCGGAGTTGTGACAAATCTTAAAGGCGACTGCCGGGTGGGGATGGGGGAGCGGGTGGGCGGGTGGTGCCCAGGTTCTCCCAGTACCCTCCCGTTGAACTCACGCTGTCGATCCAGTCGTTGAACGCCGACACGCGGGTGAACACGGTGGGCTTGCGGATGTAGTTGCAGCCCATAGAAGACACGTAGCTGGTGATGCCGTGCACCTCCCACTTGCCCGCAGAGTTTATGCAGTTCAGGGGGCCGCCAGAGTCGCCCTGAAGTTGGCCCGAAGGCAAGAGAAAATGAACGGGTGACAGAGTGAGAGTTGCCCCGGCGGCCGCGGGGGTCCCTGAGAAGGCCCGTTGACGTGGCGATTTATCGTGGCTAATGGTGGAGTGATGTTGATGGCGATGAGAAAAAGGTAGCGATGTTGATCGTACGTTAATGTAACCATGGGTTTAGTTTGTTTAAACAGATGGTAAACTCAAGTGGCCAGAATATGGTCTCATTTGCATGAGCAGCCTGCGTTTGAGAGAGATTAACTCGATGTCAATTGGCTTTTATTACGTTCATTCGCATATGAATTCGTACTTATTATTCATGCACCCATATTTTGTTCTTAATATGTATTAAATCCGGCGGGGGGCTTTAGCTACTTGGGGACCCTAAGCTTTTGCTTGGTTTTGCTCACGATTCTCTCCATCACCGACCACCGACTGTGCGAAGGGTAAATCAATGTGCGCCTCCCCCCCCGCCTCCCTCCCCCTCCTTACGTTGCACCCAGAGTCGTATCCGTCTCCTCCGGCGCAGACCATGTTGGTCTTCGCGTTGGTCGACCACCAGCTGGGCTGGCTGCAGGTGGCGTGGTCCACCACGGGAAGGTTGGCCTGCTGCAGGGCATCAGGCAGGGCGCCTCCAGCTTTGGGTCACAGCAGGGGTGGGAGGGATGGGGGGGGGGATACAAAGAGGGCAGGGGAGGGGAAAGTGAAGTCAATTTTCATTTTGTTTATGAATGTGGCGCCTTTCGGGCGCTAATCTGCCACTCTAATCGCCATCAGAAAGGGAATACTAAACGAAACTTTTTTTATTTTACCAGGTAAGGCGCACTGAGCTATATGAGCAATTTTCCAGAAGCGACCTGGCCACAAATGATAGCTCAACGAAGTGGCCCATCACGTGGAAATTTATAGCAGCCAAATACTCTGAGCACGCGACGTCGATTTGAAATGTGGGGGGAAAAACCAGAGGACCCGGAGGAAAATGCACGCGACCATGGGGAGAGAGAGATAAAGATAGAAACACTCCAAATATACAGCGTCAGGGTCGGGATCGAACCCACAACCTCCTGCATACTAGGCGAGGTAGTTAACATCTCACCACCCCTTAAGGCAAGTACGCCAACACGTTAGTGGACCGTCATGCCACGTGTGGTGAGCTCACCGGACTTTGCAATGGGGTTCAGCCACGGTTAGTCTACGGTCGGCAGGTCCTCTCGGCGGGTGGAGTAAAGTATAGGTTCTAACTCCCACCTATTCCAAGGCGTACTGTGGCCAGCGTGAAAGAGTACGCCAAATGCCTTCCACAGGGGGCTCTATATACCTCCGATTAGCACATTTGGCTTCATACGGTGCGAAGGAAGTTCAACACACGTACGTTGTACTGTACATGCAGTGCGCCTCCATAGCGTTCCCCCGGCAACATTCCCTCCCCCCCCCCCCCCCACACACACGGAACTCAGTCCCTGCCTCGACTTGGTCGGGAGTCGCCTCGCGGTGTGAAGGAAGGGAATCGGTGGCGGGAGATGCGAAGACGTGGACCGAGATGTGACGCTACGTGATCGGTGGCTGGGAGTGAGGTGACAGGGATCAGAGGCAGGGAATGGGAAGAGAGGACCATGGGGATAAGAAGGGAGCTGTGGATGAAGTAGAGCACTGTGTGTGAAGAAGGGAGCTGTGGATGAAGGAGGGAGCTGTGTGAAGAAGGGAGCTGTGGATGAAGGAGGGAGCTGTGGGTGAAGAAGGGAGCTGTGAGTGAAGGAGAGAGCTGTGGATGAAGGAGGGAGCTGTGAGTGAAGGAGGGAGCTGTGTGTGAAGAAGGGAGCTGTGAGTGAAGGAGGGAGCTGTGGATGAAGGAGGGAGCTGTGTGTGAAGAAGGGAGCTGTGTGTGAAGAAGGGAGCTGTGGATGAAGAAGGGAGCTGTGGATGGAGGGAGCTGTGGATGAAGTAGAGCGCTGTGTGAAGAAGGGAGCTGTGGATGGAAGAGGGAGCTGTGTGTGAAGAAGGGAGCTGTGAGTGAAGGAGGGAGCTGTGGATGAAGGAGGGAGCTGTGTGTGCAGAAGGGAGCTGTGTGTGAAGAAGGGAGCTGTGGATGAAGAAGGGAGCTGTGGATGGAGGGAGCTGTGGATGAAGTAGAGCGCTGTGTGAAGAAGGGAGCTGTGGATGGAAGAGGGAGCTGTGGGTGAAGAAGGGAGCTGTGGATGGAGGAGGGAGCTGTGGGTGAAAACAATAAAATTCTCACGACCTTTCGACTGCAACACCAAGCAATCATCATCAGGTGTGAAAGCCACAGCAAGAAAATTTGTGGTTTTCACACTTGATGATGATTGCTTGTGTTGCAGTAGAAACGTCATGATAATTAAATTGTTTTATATTTCTATTATTTTATTGTTTCCCTTCTACGTGACTTTAGTTTAAAGAAGGACTCAGGGTAGTGCGATGTGTGGACTGAGACGAGCTGAATCTAGAAGCTCCCCCCCCCCCCATTGCTGCAACTGCCGCGCCCCGGAGATCGAACTGGCGGCAGCTGCAGTGTAAGTCGTGCGTCTGTGTGTGTGTGTCAGCCAGTAACAACGCGACTCTACCCACACATTACCTCAACATTGCGACGGGAGTGCAGACAGATGAAGTTGTATTGTAACTGTACTGTACTCTCTATGGTTCCACGTCGGATTGCTCCCTCGCACTCCTTAACCAACTCGCTTTGACCAGCGTGGTGAAGTATGGTCAAATATAAGCCCCCCCCCCCCCCCGTCATCCAGCAGTGAGATTGACAAATACGGCTGTACCTTAATAAACATATAGTATATAAACTAAACCTCGAATTATGCTGTGCTTTAAGACTTTAGCTACCTCTTCAACAATTCCACCGTAATTAAACAATACCTTTTTTTTTACTTAATAAGGCAAAATCATATTTTACATTTATTCATCGCCTGCCGTGGGAATGTGGAATTCACCCCACAAATCTAGCTTAACTGCCGCGCCTGGAGATCGGACAGCGAACGCCCTGTGAGTAATAATCATTGAGTACTGTGCACGTGGTATCGGCACTATTCGTTCTTATCGTGCGAGGGCGATCGTCAACCAAGCAAGGTGCCGCTGTGTGTCACGGACACAGTCCGCTGCTGCTGCTGCTGCGTGGTCTAGCCTAGGGCACCCCCAGTGGCAGCTGTCCCTGTGTGTGGCACAAGGACGATCATCGCACAAAGGAAGGCGCCGCTGTGTTGCTGCTGCTGTGTGTGAGACGCCTATTGAGTGACTTCCGTTGTCATTTTTCAAATTTTGGCAAATGCAGACCTGTGACGCTCACCCGGCGCGCAGTCGCCCACTCTTTTCAAGTGACGGATCGTTTACAGGTCCGCTGTGAGTGCAGCAGACGGCGCGGGGCGGTATTATTTTCGCAGTCAATATGCAACACCGCAGCAATAACCAGGACGGCCCGCCGCCGTGCTCGAAGCGCGAGAGCTCTGCAAGGCAAAGCGGCGAACGCGCCACAGCTCGGTCCTTAATAGGTGCTCGCAAAAGGCACGCACGTACTGGAGAGACGGCCCCAGCCCGTGATGTAGCAGGGAGAGTCGTGGGGCAGCACCAGGCCCGCGGGGGGCAGGCAGGACAGCTGCACCTTGTTGCTCAGGACCACGGGCTGTGCCAGGCGGATCAGAGCGATGTCATTCCTGGCGAGAAGGTCACGGTGAGAAGGTCACGGTGAGAAGGTCACAGTGAGAGATCACGGTAAGAAGGTCACAGTGAGAAGGTAACAGTGAGAGGTCACGGTGAGAAGGTCACGGTGAGAAGGTCACAGTCGGAGGTCACGGTGAGAAGGTCACGGTGAGAAGGTCACAGTCGGAGGTCACGGTGAGAAGGTCACGGTGAGAAGATCACAGTTGGAGGTCACGGTGAGAAGGTCACGGTGAGAGGTCACAGTGAGAGGTCACGGTGAGAGGTCACGTTGGGAGGGTCACGGTAAGAGGGTCAGGGTGAGAGGTCACGGTGAGAGGTCACGTTCAAGGGGTTACAGTGAGATGAGGTACATTTCGATCTAAGGTTTATGGTAAGATCTTGTGGACAGACGTGGCGAGTGACGCGGGTCAGAGGTTATGATTATGTACATAATTTTATATATATAATTATGCTTATTTAGCAAAGAAAAAAATAACGTATCTCAAGACTACTTTTCAGTAGGGTCCTGCCACGTTTGTTTTTTGTTATGCAGTAAGGGTAGGGGGTGATTTTGCTGCCATGTGTAACCCCAATTGAGTAATTTTCTGGTAATTTTTCAGCACTGGAATGTTTGTGTTTTATTTTGCGCTATGCAGTACTTTACAGGAGGAGAACAGCACACGCGTGGCCTACTGCTTTAAAATAACGTGACGAGGATCCTGAACGTCGCGTTTGCCCGATGGACACGCCCCGGAGCTATTAGCCGGGGCGTCCCGCTGATCTTTGAACCGCAATCCTACCGCTCAGCAGCGTCACCGCCCGACACTAACGTGGCTCAGAAACCGAGTGGCTGACAACCTGATATAGTGCATGACCGCTTGATTAACCGGCTGAGTGGCTGACTTGTTAAGTGTCAAAACTGGTCGAGTGACTGACAGGTCGAGTGACTCACCCGCCGGCCACGTTGTTGTTGTTCCAGCCGGGGTGAACCGTGATCTGGTCCACGCTGTGGTACTCATCTCCGCCCTCCTCCTCCGACAGGAGGTGCTCTCCCACGGCCACGCGGTACGTACGTGAGCTGGCACCGACAGACACGGACGGATACACGCGGACACCTTATGGGCACGTGGGGATGGGGGGTTATATCTGTTTAGATGGTGGTCGTGGTAATGGGATGATGATGGTGATGTTAATTAAGTGACGTGTGTATACTGCACAAGGACACACGGACAATTATGGGCATGTTGAGATGGTGGTGATATCTGGTGATTCGATGATGGTGAAATTATAAAATGGTGGGGGTGGTGGTGTTGAAATGATGGTAGTGGTGATAATGAGGTGGTGGTGATGAGGTGGTGTGGAACTCAAGAGAAGCAGTGATGATGAGATGTTGATGCTGGTGATGATCATGAGATGGTGACGAGATGATGATGAGGTGGTGAGATGTTGAGTCTGGTGATGATGTGGTGGTGATGATGAGGTGGTGGTGATGATGAGGTGGTGGTGGTGGAACTCACGAGATGCAGTGGGCCGCCGTGAGCACCCACTGGGGGTCGATCAGGGTCCCACCGCACGTGTGGTACCAGGACCCGCCAGACAGGTACTGCAGGGAGATCTACAGCAGCCACAACAGCCACAACCACAGCAACCACAACAATCACATCAACCACCACAACCGTAGTCTTATCAAAGTATACCAACAAAACACACCACCAAATCAACCACAACCACCACATCTACAACGATACTATCACACACACATGACAGATCTCTGCTGGCACAGCACATATTTCCGTGGTAGGCTCTGGTCTGTGCGTCTCGTTTCTCAAACGAGCATTTGCCTCTCACCGTTGGTGACCCTGACCCAGAGATGCTAAATGGCCCGCTCCCCTTGGCTGAGACAACTTGGTCTCTGTGTCAGACGTTAAAGCACTACCCTGCCCTGCTTGCAAGCTCCGTGTCCTGACACCTCAGAGTTTAAGGAAGATGGCAACACCCTTGTGGCCACACAGCTTTGGCTTGCATAATACATGTGTTTGTTTGGGTTAGATCGTGTAAATATATAAATGTGTAAGTCATCCCGCCACCACCCGACACAACCAATTAGTAAGGGGTTTGTCACATAAACAGAACATGCCAATTCGTTACTAGTACATCACAACGGTGCGTTGGAGAGCCAAGACACAACAGCAGGCTTGAAGCTAGCGAAACGTCGTACTCAGATTGTAAATGTTGTGGCTTTGCTCTCCAACACACCGGTGGGGCTGTACTAGTAACGAATTAGCATGTTCTGTTTACGTGACAAACCTTACTAACTGGCTGTGTCGGGTGGTGGCGGGTTTAACGACACATTTATATATTTACGCGATCTAACCCAAATAAACCTGTATTATGGGTGATATTGGCCGCGAGTTTAGCGTTGGCTTGTGCTGCGTCCCACGTCTGACACGAGGAAACCAGTCTTGGGGATAAATCGCCCACCCTGCATGGTGGATCACGGAACACGTTCCAACGTGCGTTAATTATCCATGAAGGTGTTTAATTACATATTATATCATTATAAATATCCCTGGAGGTGTTTGATTAGCGAGCGCGGAAGCCAGTGATAGGTGGTAGCTGTGGGGCCCAAAACCATGTTCTCATATTTGCAAATACTGTAGTTCCTTTTTATCACTTTTTAAAATATTCTGACTAACCTTAAAAGTTTTTTTTTCTCATTCACAATGCTTAGAGCTTGTCCCATGTTCTGAAATGTCTCCCCATACCTCCCCGTCTATTCCGATGTTCTGCCCTATCTCTCCGTGTGTCCCCACATCTCACCGTGACAACAGGATAGGACACGCGGCCTCGGTACTTCTGAACAAGGTAAAAAACGACGAGATTTATTTTTGGGATGGCCTCTTTGTTTAAACTGCAAAACGCAAATCGGAACGAACTGTGGGGGCTCGCAGAGCCATGGCACGAGACACGAACCTGCCAGGGCCAGCTGTTGGGCTTCGCCTCCACTCCATTGACCACGCGGCTCTCGATGGGGGGGTAGCTGGGCACCCCACAGCCCTGGGCGGTCGCTGTGCAGAGACACGCCGGGGGGGGGGGGGGGGGGAGGTGGTTAGACATGGAGAGACGCATGGGGAGAAACGAGGAGTCATGGGGCAACATGGGGGAGACACCGGGAGGTGGTTAGACATGGAGAGACGCATGGGGAGAAACGAGGAGTCATGGGGCAACATGGGGGAGACACTAGGAGGTTGTTAGACATGGAGAGACGCATGGGGAGACACGGGGAGTCATGGGGCAACATGGGGGAGACACTAGGAGGTGGTTAGACATGGAGAGACGCATGGGGAGACACGGGGAGTCATGGGGCAACATGGGGGAGACACTGGGAGGTGGTTAGACATGGAGAGACGCCGCATGGGGAGACACGGGGAGTCATGGGGCAACATGGGGGAGACACCGGGAAGTTGCGATGGACCATGGAACACGTAGATGTGCGCAAGAGACACCGAGGGAATATGGGCCGTTAAGACACGTGGAAATATGGAAGGATGTGGCAGGACATGGGGAATAGATGAGGAAGTATTGAAGCATGCAGCATGGAGATATGGGAATCAAATTGAGGGCCATGGAGAGGCGCGGGCAGACAAAGTTGAACACGAAACACAGGGAGAGACGTGGAGAGACATGGGGACGAATGAAAAGACATGAGGGAACACGGGAATACGTGTGGAGGCATGGGGAGACATGCTGCAACAAGCAACACGGACCATAAGGAGACGGGAGACGTGAGAAGAAACGAGAATACACATGGGGAGACAAGGGGAGGGAATCCTGCAGGATATTGGCAGGCATGAGACAGAGGACACAAAGAGGGTGGGATGATGATAATGATGATTTAGGAACGATGAGAATTGGGAAAATGTTGCTTCTGTATACAGTATGGTGATGTTTCAGATTACCCAGATGCAGATAATTATTGCTAATGTTTGAAGAATAATGATGAACAATATGTTTATTTCTGATGATGAGAATGGTGATGCAGGCGAGATGTTTCTCATTGTCCAGACAGATGATCATGTCGATGATGATGACGACGATGATGGTGACACCCACCCAGCACCAGGAGGAACACGGAGGCGATGAGGGCGAACATCTTGTCCAAGTCTCGTCTCAAGTCGGTGAGTTCCTCCTCATCCAGGGCCTTCTTATAGAACCCCGGGGGGTGGGGGGGTGGGGGTTGGGAGAGGAGGGAGGGCATCATCAATATCCCCTCCCAAACCCCCTTGAACCCCACTATCACGCGAGATCATCGATAAGGGCGACCGCAAAATTATCGATAAAGGCCTGGATGACATTGATTGGCTGGCGGCTGGGATCGGTTTGGTTCACGAGACAGTGCCGTCTGCCTGCCACGTGGTCCTAATGGGTTATGTGTGTGTATGTATACAAAGTCAAAAGAGACTCCCCGTATCGCTTTTAACAGACTGTGTGGGCAAGTACTGTTAGCGAGAACCTATGACGGCACACGAGGGGGTGGGTGGCTAACACCATGCCTGGCCACCTTTGTCTCCTCAGTGATGATATTTACACACCACATCGGGTACTCACTTGAGGCTGAGTCGACCTAGGAGAGGCCCCTGACCGGTTCAGATAATCGTCACCGGTGTCGGCCACGAGCGGGAATCGAACTTGGGCCGCTGGGTTAATGGAGCAGTGCCCTCACCGCTGAACTACCGCTCTCCATAGACGTAACGCGCGCGCGTGTGCGCACATATGCACAAACACTCTCAGCACGTGGCTGACTCGTTACATCTCAGTGAGGTTCGCTGCACTGAACAAAGTAGTTCTGCGGTTCAGTTTGCAAGTGCAAGTTCGTGTTTTAAGTCAATGTTAAATAAATACGTAGTGCTTTAAAAAAAATTAACAGCAATATGGTACTATTGTTTTTAATGTAAATAGAACGTATAATACACTGTAACATGATAAAATGTAATGTTAATAGCTTCAATAAGTCAAAGAGTCTCCACTTGTTCGCCATCATTGTCAACACGTGCCTGGAAAATGCTCCGGGTGGCCTCCAGAGCCCGGAGGCAGCAGCACATTTCTCGTGGTATTGTTGCAAATTCTCAGAAAGTGTTAACATTTTATGAAGCACCCTGTATATGTTTCATGGAAAGCTGATTCGTAAGTGCGGTTGTTCGTAAATCGAGCACTGCCTGTAAACATACAGTGTTTTGTGCAACTGCGCCACCAACCCGGCAAATATTTGAACTATAGTCGTGGGCCTCCCCTCTGCCGACTCTGGCTTAAAATGTATATGTGTATGTACGTTGAGCTTCTTTCGCACCGTACATAGCTGACCACGCTAATTGGAGGTGGCGGGAAAAAATGAGTACCTGGTGCGGTGTGAAAACATGAGCACTGGTGAGACAGAGGCGGGCCGGATGTGGTGAGGGCCACCCACCGCCTCGTGTACCGTGATGGTGTTCATCGGTGCTCGCACACGGTACTTTCCCAGTCTGTTAAGGCTGCACGGGGGATCTTAGTCTTTATGCGTATGCATAGGGAGCGGTTGTGTAGTGGTTAGCACACTGCGTCACAAACTCTGACCCCATTTCTAATTCCCAGCTCTTAGTGTTCACACAAACTTTAACTTTGACACCTTATACATCACTGTAACCTTTACTAAAACCCTTTCACCTTTGTGTAACACTAACACTAACCCCACAACTTATTCTAGTCTTCACCATATCCTAAACCCTAACCCTCAAACCCTAACAACTCAAACTCTGAATTTCTCATTAACCCCAACCCAAACTATTATCCTAACCATAGCCCTGATTAATCCCATCGCCAGCCTCGAACCGCTACTTCATTTGACCTTCGCGCGCATCTTGCGTCGGCTGTTCACGTTCCCATGAGTGTTCCGTGACCTCTCCATGGATGAGATGATAACGGAGGCAGAAATAGGGTTTAGGTCTCCCTCTTTGTGTCGTCCGCACACACCTGTACCATGCACGGGTGTGCCAATCAATAACGAGATGAGTGATAAAGCAATCTGTATGAAAAAATAAGAATAGGTTGTACCCTTGGCAATAAAACGTCGTGAGAATTTTATTGTTTTATATTTTTATTATTTAATTGTTTCCCTTCTATGTGACTTTACCAAAAGAACCAAGAATATGAATAATAAAACAGATGTTAAGATGTTCAAACACCAAATGCAAATCGTTTTTGCAATAGCCACAACACAAGCAGTCAAAATGCAAACAAAAGAGACAACTCTGATAATACTCTTTGGTTCTATTCGGTAAAAAATAAAACGACAAAAATCACGACGTTTCGGCCACAATACAAGTGGCCTTCATCAGGTGAAGGGACCAGACTGTCTCGAGGACAGCGCTGGAGTGAACACAGCCAAGCTCAGACCGCGACCTTTAAGCTGTGTGAGAGGAATTAAGGTGCCTTGACAAAGGAATTAGCATAAAAATTAGCATTTAATTGGCGGACTTAGCATGATGAACTGTGTAGAGGGGTTGAACATGTGCAGGCCGGCGAGGAGGGGAGGGGGAGTTTACATATTGATGGTGTGAAAAGGGAATTTTAAGAAGCTGCGAAAGTTTGGGGTACAACTACTTGAAAAAATATAGTGTACCATTGATAATTAGTTTAAGGCTTGGTTCGATTTAGAACATCTTTCCAATGGTTGCTTAATTTGAAACCATCTTCTCGGTTGAAATTGTGTCTGTGTTTGTAAATCTGAATTGCCTCGTGAACAAATCTATGATAAAAACCCGTGGGTTTGCAAATAACCTTGGTATCGGAGAAAATTATATCGTGATCACCCACAGCGTTGTAACAGTGATCATCTACGGCAGAAGAATTCGTTCTGCCGTGTTTCAAATCTGATTTGTGCTCGCGAATTCGTTCAGAGATATGTCGCTTCGTCTCCCCGATATAGCATTCACCGCAGGTACAACTCAATTTGTAAACCCCGGGGTACTGTAAGTCAGGAATGACATCCTTCACGGATGGGATCAGATCACGAATTTTGTGTACTGTATTGAACCGGACCTGGATCTTGTGTTTGTTTATAATTTTGGAAATCTTTTTAGTAACGCCTGCTATATATGGTAGTGTGATGGTTTTGACCGGAGTATCAAGTGGTTGTTTCTGTATGGAGGGAGAAATAGCTTGGCGGATGGTACGGTCAGAGTATCCATTCCTTTTGAGGGCCAGGTGTACATGTTTTAATTCACTGGTCAGGTGGTGTTGGTCCGAAATGCAATGAGCCCTATGGCATAAAGTTTTGATGAGATAATTCTTTTGAGCTGGGTGGTGGTGGGAATCAGGTTTCAAGTAGGAATCTGTGTGGGTGGGTTTCCTGTAGACAGAATGCCCTAATGAGCCATCAGGTCTCCTCTCAAACAGAACATCTAAGATTGGTAGCTTGCCATCTTTCTCCACTTCCATGGTGAATTTGATGGTGGGATGTCTGGAATTGATGTGGTGTAGGAAAAGGTTCAGAGCTGGGAGGCCATGTGGCCAAATGACGAAAGTGTTATCCACATATCTCTTCCACAGGGAAGGTCTGAGGGTGGAAGTCTGGATGGCGTCCGATTCAAATTTCTCCATGAAAACATTGGCTATCACTGGTGACAAAGGGGAACCCATGGGAGTACCCTCATTTTGCTTGTAGAAGGAACCATTCCAAGTAAAGTAGGTGTTGGTGAGGCAGTGCCTGACCAGCGTAGGTACCTCGGGGTTTAGTCCATGTTGTACCAAATTTTCAATTATTTCAATGGTATCAGGTACCGGGACCTTGGTGAACAAGGAGACCACATCGCAGCTGACAAGGATATCGTCAGGGGACAGTACAACGTCTTTGACCATAGAAACCAATTGGGCTGAGTTAAGTACTGCTGAGGAGGTCTTGCCAGTGAAAGGTAGCAAGGTATCCGACAGAAAACGTGCTAGCTTATAGGTAGGGGAGTTGATCGTGGATACGATGGATCGTAGTGGAGTGCCTTCTTTTTTCTTCTTTGGTTCTTTCGGTAAAGTCACGTAGAATGATAATAAAATAATAAAATAAAATAACAATAATATTCTCACGACGTTTCGGCCACAACACAAGCGGCCTTCATCAGGTGAAGTGACGAGACTGTCTGGTAGGACAGCGCTGGAGTGAAAGAGCCACGTTCAGATCACGGCCTTTAAGCTGTGTGAGAGGAACAAAGCGCCCTCAACTTTAGCACCACGGATAGCTACGGGCCCCGTTCAGACGGACGAGTTCGTCCATGGTCGGAACAGAGGAGGGGGAGAGAGACAGCAGAATATTATTGTGTTATTTTATTTTATTATTTTATTCTCATTCTACGTGACTTTACTGAAAGAACCAAAGAAGATGAATCATTGCAGTCACGAAAGCTTTAAATCGAAATTTAACCGCCTCTACGGGGAGGGATTCCACACATCCTTAAGATCATTCAACAGACTCCGGGATAAGAAGGCTCAACTAATCGAGTCTCTCACCTTTCTGAAGAGATGCCGCGACTCTAAGCTGTCTCTCTCCCCCTCCTCTGTTCCGACCATGGACGAACTCGTCCATCTGAACGGGGCCCGTAGCTATCCGTGGTGCTAAAGTTGAGGGCGCTTTGTTCCTCTCACACAGCTTAAAGGCTGTGATCTGAACGTGGCTCTTTCACTCCAGCGCTGTCCTACCAGACAGTCTCGTCACTTCACCTGATGAAGGCCGCTTGTGTTGTGGCCGAAACGTCGTGAGAATATTATTGTGTTATTTTATTTTATTATTTTATTCTCATTCTACGTGACTTTGCCGAAAGAACCAAAGAAGATTAATCATTGCAGTCACGAAAGCTTTAAATCGAAATTTAACCGCCTCTACGGGGAGGGATTCCACACATCCTTAAGATCATTCAACAGACTCCGGGATAAGAAGGCTCAACTAATCGAGTCTCTCACCTTTCTGAAGAGATGAGGCGACTCTAAGCTGTCTCTCTCCCCCTCCTCTGTTCCGACCATGGACGAACTCGTCCGTCTGAACGGGGCCCGTAGCTATCCGTGGTGCTAAAGTTGAGGGCGCTTTGTTCCTCTCACACAGCTTAAAGGCCGTGATCTGAACGTGGCTCTTTCACTCCAGCGCTGTCCTACCAGACAGTCTCGTCCCTTCACCTGATGAAGGCCGCTTGTGTTGTGGCCGAAACGTCATGAGAATATTATTGTGTTATTTTATTTTATTATTTTATTCTCATTCTACGTGACTTTACCGAAAGAACCAAAGAAGATTAATCATTGCAGTCACGCAAGCTTTAAATCGAAATTTAACCGCCTCTACGGGGAGGGATTCCACACATCCTTAAGATCATTCAACAGACTCCGGGATAAGAAGGCTCAACTAATCGAGTCTCTCACCTTTCTGAAGAGATGCCGCGACTCTAAGCTGTCTCTCTCCCCCTCCTCTGTTCCGACCATGGACGAACTCGTCCGTCTGAACGGGGCCCGTAGCTATCCGTGGTGCTAAAGTTGAGGGCACTTTGTTCCTCTCACACAGCTTAAAGGCCGTGATCTGAACGTGGCTCTTTCACTCCAACGCTGTCCTACCAGACAGTCTCGTCCCTTCACCTGATGAAGGCCGCTTGTGTTGTGGCCGAAACGTCGTGAGAATATTATTGTGTTATTTTATTTTATTATTTTATTCTCATTCTACGTGACTTTACCGAAAGAACCAAAGAAGATGAATCATTGCAGTCACGAAAGCTTTAAATCAAAATTTAGTGCCTTCTTTATTAATCTTTGGAAGACCATAGAATCTAGGGGGTCTTGCAGCAGAAGGTTTTAGGGAGAGACGTTTAGTTGGTTCGATTAGGGAGGTCGAACTTGTGATGATCTTGTTGGTTTTCATAGTTAGGCTATTAGTAGGGTCATTTTTAATTTTTGAGTAACTACCATCATTGAGTAGGTCCTGAATTTTATTGTTGTATGAGTTTTTATCCATAATTACAGTGGCATTGCCCTTGTCAGCTGAGAGGATGATTATATCATGTCTCTCTTTTAATTTCGCGAGTTCAAAGCGTTCATCTTTGCTGATGTTGCTAACGGGTTTCTTAGCATTCTTAAGAATAGTAGCTATTTCAGCTCTCGCGACGTCTGCTTGGATGTGTCCTATACCTTTGACGGCTACATCGACCTGAGAAATGATATCATCCCTCGGTATATGTTTTGGGGTGACAGCGAAATTTAGTCCTTTAGCCAATACTGTTTTCAGATTGTCCGAAATCGGGGTGCTACAACAGGGTAGGAGCATTCAGGCCTCTGCATAGACAGGGCGGCGCGGGGCGGAAGCATCTGAATGACTTTTGTTCTAGGAAAAGGTCACGGATCAGCATGTGAAAAAGGGCGAAAATTACTCAGCCTCTGAATGGACAGGGCGGTACGGAGCGTGGGAACCACGGTACGCCTTTGTCATAAGTAATATTACAAATCTGAATATGAAGGAGCACGGGTGGGCAGGCGCCAGAGAAACGGAATGCCTTTAGGGTGTATTAAATACGGAGGCTCAGCGTAGCAAGAGTCAGTCTTATTCAAAAATCATCGCGGTCCACGCAGGAGGGGAGTCAGCCGTTCGAGACGTCCACGCGACGAACTTCAGCGCAGCCAGGCTCAACCCTCTACGGATCGCTTTTCTACAGCTTCCAGCACAGCAGAGTGGAAGCACGCGTGAGTAAGAGAGAGAGGTAAGTTTGGGCTATTTGATCGAGGGTAGAAAGCAGAGCGATAGGCCGAGGAAATACAGTCTAGGATCCCAAGGGGAATAGGCTGACATCCACGGACCCACACAATTACGCGTAGCTTAACGGGTCGCTCGCGGTAAATAAAATAACTGGTCGGGGAATAAACTGTGTCGTGTGGTCCTTTGGAGGGTGAAGAGGAGGGTGGAGAGTGTTTTGTGTTCGTGCGCACACGCGGCTGTTTGCGGCGAATAAGGGAGTAGAGCGTGCTTGGTGTCCGTACCTGTACGATCGTTTACAGTATTGTTCAGCGCGCGTGTGCCTACACGACTGTTTTCGGTGGTGCCCAGCGCTCGCGTACCTGCACAATCGCCTACAGTAGCGCTTAGCGCTCGTGCGCCTGTGTGACGGGGTTGCGGTCGCGCACCCGCACGATTGTCTAATAGCGAGGTAGCGAATTAAGCGCCTGGCGTGCGCGACTACGCAGCTGTGTAAACAGCCCGTTAAATCAGAGCAAAGTAATCGCGGCGTGTTTGTTTTTGCTTAAGCGCGTGGAGCGTGGGTGGGAGGGAATCCCAGGCGGCGCGCCGCACCTGTTTATTCCCGTGCAGGACAGGGTTTTATTGCGAGCGCGCTCACCGTGGCACGCCGCCGGTGAACAGGGTAGCGCATCGCAAGCGGAAAGCGTACGAGCCGCTAATTAAGCTATGCAAACGCGGTCGACATCCCAGGCAGAGGTACAGGGGGGCGAGACATTAGGGGTCGGTAGTCTGGACCTGACAGAGCAGCCGGGGGGTAGCGGTATGAATGGAACGGGGGAGTCGGTGGGCAACGGCCCCGACAATTCAGTGATGGCGGGGGATGGTAGCCCCCACAGGGGTACAGGTGGTGCATCTGGCAGTTATCTCGGTCAGTCAACCCTTGGCACCTGGGTCTACCAGCGAACCTTAGACACTTCACTTTGCCTAAAAGAGCATATAGCTTGGCACAAGCGTCACAGCCACTTAGTGGCCAATGGCGATTGTTGTTGTTGAGCGTTTATATTCGTGTGTTTCTGTGTTTGGCCAGCTCTGTTGAGCGTTGTTCGCCCCCAATAGTGATCCCAACCCTGAGACTGCGGTGAAAATTCCACAACCTTTGGCAAACGGCCTCGGTGATGCTGCGTCGGCTGTTCTTCACAAAACACACTCAAAGCAATCGTCAAAGCTGTGACCTTGAAGGGAAAAAAATATCACAGGCGATGTTATGAGCAATGGTCCTTCCTCATAGCACAGGAATAGAGGCCAGACAGTGGAGACGTAATGCCATGGTGTAAACAAATGAAAACGCCAACTCTTAATCTATCCGCAATATCGCTCTACTGGCCTCTCTGTGTGCTATGCAAAAGGGTCATTGCCCCAAACATTGCCTTTAATATATATTTTTCCTTTTAAGGCCCCACACACACACACAGTGTGATTGATGAATGTGTGGAGTGTTTTTTTTTGTCTGTAGGAAACCTGCAATAGTCAGCTGTTGATTATCTAGGGTGCTGGGAGGATGCAACCCTGAGGCTGTTCTGAATAAAGGAAATTGATCGTTGACCATAGGCGTGCACATTTGGCAAAACAACCCATTCGCGTGGCCTAGCCGTAGCATGTTCACCGCTTGTTGTAGAGGTTCGCGGTTTTAATCCGCGGTGTAGACTTGTTGTGACCCTGAACCGTAATACGTAAGCCTCCGGGCCTGCAGGGCTGCAGGTTCTCCTTTGCTGTCGTAAACCCAACACTGTGACGGCAAGGGCTGTAAAATTTGTAACGCGGGCAGCTTTTGCATGGGGTCGTGGGAAATCGCAAAGGCAGGAAGGCAGCCAGAACCGGTGGAAATTATTGCCAAAGCTCTGTGGTCCTATATTGGGATATTTCACCTACATTAATGAGTGGGAGAAAATCCACATGCACGAGGAGGGGACGGTGGGGGGGGGGGGCTCCATCATTGAAAAGTAGTAATGAGTGGGCTGGTGGCCAGGATTTATGGTGGTGGTGCAGCAAACGGCGGCTATGCACATGACCCGTAATCCAGCACTGGTGGAGGCAGCGAGGGTTGGTGGATGGCATAAATGTTGCGAAACTCCCTTCCTGTGGGCGTCGAGGCAGTGCCCATACCCTGACTCACCAGGAGAAGGCGGTACAATTCTAGATTTGAAGCTTTCGTGACTGCAAGGATCCATACTCTTTGGTTCTATTCGGTAAAGTCACGTAGGTAAAAAAATAAAACTAAAACAAAAATCTCGACGTTTCGGCCACAACACAAGCGGCCTTCATCAGGTGAAGGGACCAGTCTGTCTCGAAGACTGCGCTAATTCCTTTGTCAAGGCACCTTAATCCCTCTCACACAGCTTAAAGGTGCACTGCCGTGTGCTACACCTTTCATCATGCTAAGTCCGTCAATTAAATGCTAAATTTTTATGCTAATTCCTTTGTCAAGGCACCTTAATCCCTCTCACACAGCTTAAAGGTCGTAGTCTGAGCTTGGCTCTGTTTCACTCCAGCGCAGTCTTTGAGACAGACTGGTCCCTTCACCTGATGAAGGTGGTACAAGCCAGCGACAACAGTGTTGCCCCCTCGCACGCGTGAAGTTTTTCCGGGCGCTCAAATCTCGCCCCATGCGTAAACGCTCAAAAATCGACCGATAACACTTTCATACGCTGAGAGAATTTGGCGCCGGATCACCGCGTGGCTGCTGCCCTTCCCGCTTGTCTATAGTTCCTCCTCGCGCCTCTGAGTTGTCCTCTCTCTCTCTCTCTCAGAGATCGAGCAAATACTCGTTAAAAGCTGAAACTATTAATATGATTATGATCAATAAAAAGCAATCTTCAATCTCATTCTAAAAAAATTCCCATCACTCCGGATCACAATGAAACAAATCCTTTATTGAACCACGATTCCATCTCACTCATGGTAATTAGCATCATCAAACAATCACAGTTTAGCAATGGAGTCTTCAGTCTGTTCCACACCAGCATACAAAGGTGCTCCGTCTTCCATTAGATCTGCTTAGTAGTAACTGACCATCGCATCGGGACCATCACGGGCACTATAGACTTCCATGGCCTAGTTAAGGGGGAAGAGCGGGAGGAGAGAGAGAGAGAGGCATGGGTATCAGGTAAGTACAGGTATACAGTGCAGGGTCATCACAGTATGCGTGGTTTTCCACTGTTTGCCGATCTGAGCCAGAACTAGACCATGAAACTCTATCCTGGCAAGACGTGAATTTAGCTCACTTGCATCTACACGCATATTGACTCAGTTCACTGTATGTGATATCAGCGGCACGGTTCGGTTTCTGCAGTGGAAAAACAACGTGACACATCTTGAGACCTCCTGGACTTTACTGCGCACTGTGCTGCAAGATTACTGGTGATGGCTAACATGAGTGGTGATTATTTGGATGATGATGACAAAACATTGTTATAGGTCTGTATGGAACATATTACGACACCGCAACAATGTCATAAGTCTGGTTTATGGCAATAGTTTTTACGCCAAGTAAATAAAGAGTTACAGCTTTTGAAATATTTTGAGAAAATATTACGAGCGGTCAAGACCACTCGCAAGTCGACAATAACCGATAATAACTAAGAATTATATGTATTTTTTATTTTATTAGGTCAGGCGACCTGGCCACAATTGTTAGCTCAACAAAGTGGCTTATCGTCATGTGGACATTTATAGCAACCAAATACTCTAAACGCGTGTTTATAAATGTGGAAAAACTGGTGGATTCGGAGAAGAATTCACGTGACCAGTGGGAGAACATACAAACTCCAAATATACGGGTCAGAGTTGGGATTGAACCCACGACCTGTATACCAGGCGAGGTAATTAACATCTCGCCACCGTGGCGCCCATAATAAAGTAACAATGACCAACAACAAGATGGATAATAACATTAGTGACGCTCATGTCAACATTACAAACATCACCACAGTCATCGACATTCATAGAAACGTTCACACCGTGGGAGTGATGATGTTTCCCTTTAGCAACACCCTTAACACGAGAAGTTGCACGACCTCACTACGACTCCCCCATTTACTTTTGACTCGCGATCCGTCTTCTCGTTTTTGATCGCACTACGACCACAACCGGCTGGATTTACGACGAATCTAAGAGCGACTGCTGTACTTGGGTGGGGGGGGGCATCCAGATCCTCCCAGTACCCTCCCGTTGAACTCACACTGGTGATCCAGTCGTTGAACGCCGACACGCGGGTGAACACACTGGGCTTGCGGATGTAGTTGCAGCCCATAGAAGACCCGAAGCTGGTGATGCCGTGCACCTCCCATATGCCGGCGGAGTTGATGCAGTTCAGGGGGCCGCCAGAGTCGCCCTGCAGTGGCATGGGTGGGGGGTATGGGGGAGAAATGCGGGATCACAGGTGAGGGTGCGATGAAAGGCGTGCGTGTGAAAATGGTAAAGGCGCAGCCCTGGAATTGCTCGCTCCACTAAACGGAGCTCTGGAGAGCCCCACGAGATGGAGCTCTGGAGAACCCCACTAAACGGAGCTCTGGAGAGCCCCACGAGATGGAGCTCTGGAAAGCCCCACGAGACGGAGCTCTGGAGAACCCCACGAGACGGAGCTCTGGGGGGCCCCACGAGATGGAGCTCTGGAAAGCCCCACAAGACGGAGCTCTGGAGAACCCCACGAGACGGAGCTCTGGGGGGCCCCAGGAGATGGAGCTCTACAACGCGTATATTAATATATTTCAGCTGGTAAGAGCCTTTGAGCCAAGCAGATGTTTTTGTATGAGGACATTCAGCAAATTAACGAGGAATCCGGCGCACCCGGAATAAACCCACACATGCGAGGCGGCAATGCTCCATCCCATACAGACAGAAACAGATTGTATCAGTTCGCACTTTTCTTCACCGCCTTCTCCTTGCGAGACAGGTATGGCACCTCCTCGACGCTCACCCGTGGGAAGGGAGTTTCGAAACATCTATGCGGTGATCTACCAACCTTGGGTGCTGCCTCCGCAGCCACTGGAGGATTACTGGCCGCCACTTGCGACAAACCCACCACGTATCAGAGATGGTGGTCACTCCATATCACAAGGCCGTTCTCAAGCTGACCATCCTGGGTTAATCGGACCCAATTGCTCTGAGTCTTTTCTGAGTAGCGCTCCTCCTTACGTTACACGCCGAGTCGTATCCATCTCCTCCGGCGCAGACCATGTTGGTCTTCACGTTGGTCGACCACCAGCTGGGCTGGCTGCAGGTGGCGTAGTCCACCACGGGAAGGTTGGCCTGCTGCAGGGCATCGGGCAGGGCGCCTCCAGCTGAACGTGAAACGAGAATGGAGCAAGGAGGGACACCCAGTACATGACCACAGTGGCATGAGCACATGGGGGGGAGGGTGGCATTGGTGCTGGTGGCGGTAGAAGTTCTGGCGGTGATGGTATTGGTGGTAGTCGTGGTGGCGGCAGTGGTATTGGTGGTGGTGGCGATGACGGCGGTGGTGATGGCGGTATTGGTGTGGTGATATAAATGCGTTCACGAATGCCTGCAGATGGCTTTGAGATATCAGTGGCAGGGTATGTGTGGTGCTGGCAGATGGCCCCACCACCTCTGGACTTCATAGGTGTGCGCAAGCAACAGAAGAGAGCAAGGCTTTGGTCCGGACTCACTGGCGATACGGCCCCAGCCCGTGACGTAGCAGACGTAGTTGTTGGGCAGAATCAGCCCAGCGGGGGGCAGGCAGGCCGGCTGGATCTTGTCGCTCAGGATCACGGGGTTGGCCAGGCGGATGAGAGCGATGTCATTCCTGGTTAGGGCACGGCCAGAGGTCATGGTTAGAGTTCACAGCCGGTGATATAGTGGGAGGGGTGGGCTGGCCAGGCAGGGCGGCTGCTCCTGGCACCCCATTCCCAAGGATGGCGCCGCCAGTGGCGGCTGGTGGCTCAACTTTGCGTGGTAGCGGCACTGCAGGAGAGAGGGGCGAAGAGCAACGAAATGCCCCCAAGCGCCAAAGTGCCCCACTACGCCCTCTGGTGGTGGCCTTCTTGCTCGCCTGAAATTTGTATTTATTCAGCGTTTAAATGTGACGGCATCTCAAGTTGCTGGGCGCGAGTTAACCACGTGGCATAGGGGCCAAGAGGTGCCGAGATGGCGCTGCTGAGATCCTGGGTTTGGATGCCAGGTTTTAGCCACTCGTGGTTAAATTGGGTTCTCAATTGCAGCGAGCTGATGGAGTTGATGGTCTCAGCCCAGTCACCAATTACTGACCGAGTTGCGTTCTTCCACTTACAGCACTTTGCCTAATATCCAGCTCTGCGAATAAAAAGAAAAAGATTTTGGGTTTAACTGCTCTGCGATGGACATTTCTCGGTAGAGACAGATGAGGCGGTCTTCAGATAAAAGGCTTTAGTTGAATCAATAAAAAAAAATTCCCTCATATTCCCGACACAAACGTGCTCGGAGGAAACAATCTCTCCCCCAAGCACGCGTCAACATCCCCTTCAGAATCTGTATATATACTGGAATAATCCGATGAGCCATGAAGCTCTTTTTCACAGATGTACAGCAGGGGCACGGGTTAAAAAGAATAATCACCCAAACACACACCAATACAACTAAACCCTATCCTATCAGGCAATGCCCACTGAGGTATTAACTTATTTTTCAGAAGCAACTTGCCTATCACAGACGACAGCTCAACAATGTGGCCCATCATTTGGACATTTATAATAGCAAAAGGACCATCTAAATTATCACAATGCACGTTTCTCAATGTGGAGGTGACTCACCCGCCAGCCACGTTGTTGCCGTTCCATCCGGCGTGCACCAGGATCTGGGCCACGTCATGATACTCGTCTCCGCCCTCCTCGACCGACAGGAAGTGCTCACCCACAGCCACGCGGTACGTGCGGGAGCTACCACAGACAGTGTGACAAATGTGGTGATCTAACACTCGCCGTACCATGGGGTCAATGCAAGCTCATGTTGTTCTGATAGTTTGTGAGTTTAACACGTCACAGCCAATTAGTAAGGTTTGTCGCGTAAACAAAACCTGCAAATTTGTTACTAGTACAGCACACTGGTGTGTTGAAGTGTAAACCCAAAACATTTACAATTCGAGTACCGTGACGTTTCGCCAGTAATTACAACCAGCATCATCAGGCGACAGCCAGAGTTGTAGAGACATCCTACTCTTCCGGTCTTAAATTAGTTGCTTTGTCATCCGCAAATGGGTTTTGACTGCTTTGTCCTGAAGTGTTGTATGGTGTGACGATTGCTTCGATGTCTAACGTTTTCAGACAGGTTGCGGTTAGGGGAAGTGGTTGATATAATGACCTCACCTGTACAAGCAGACCTCGTTTAGTAGCTCAAGATGCATTCCTGGAGAAGTTGAGCGCTGATCGAATCGTTGCGAAAAGGGGGAAGTCATTATACCATTGCGTATGTGGGGATGCGTTGTCAACTGCGTTATTTCTTTCACGTGAGAAATATCTGAGGGCGTCATTGGGGTGTCAGTAATAGCGCTAATAAAGTAGTTCCTTGGTTAACAGTGACATCGGTTTACGGTTTTTCGTTTAACGTTTCGCCTCCCATAGGACCCCCATGGTTTCGGCTCACGTTAACATTGTTAACTAACAATAACATTGTTGATGTAACAGTATGTTTACATGATATGCATACGAGCGCCAATTTCGGCCAATCCGATCGCTCGTTAGTGGGGCTGAGCCGTGCCCTCAGCCAATGAGCGACGCCCATCTGTCAGCGTTTAGACGTCGACTGGCTTTACATTATTACGTTTTCTGTTTTGGCAGTGAAAACAACAGCTCTCTTGCAGACTAATTGTTTTAATTATTTATCAATTAATAAGTGAATTCGATTCAACAGTTATTTCGGTTAACAGTTTTCGTGGAACGGATTAACATACCTATCAACCCCTTATCAGTGCCTACTTTATTACAGACCAATTCAGACCTTATTGGCCACCCCGTGCCCTTATAAATCTCAACGTTCATCACACAAAGTCCCATCACAAGGAAGAAACAAAAAATAGAAATTAAAAAAATTGTTGCCCGTATTGAAACGGCTGTATGCCGTATGGACCTGACAACTAAATTTCCATGTACAAGAATACGGGGTAAACCGTGTGGGTTGACAGTTATGGATTAAACACATTAACCGAAGGAACTACTGTAATAACATGGATGGTAAACTTGATTTCATAAAAAAAGAATAAATTATTATAACATCAGTGTGTACTCTACTGGCGAGTGTATTCTACTGTGCTCCTACATGGCAGCGGTAAGGGACGAGGTTGGAAGGTAGCTGCTGCTGCTACGCTCTCAGTCCGAGTCATTCTCAAGAGAAGGGCTCCAGAACCTTCGCGACCTTGGCGATGGTGCCCTCAGTCTACATTGGTGTGGCGAGGTTTATTTAACATGGAACCTGAGACTCTATTCCGGTCTCGTCAATTTTCACCTGGCTAACATTGGCCGAAAAATATTTTTTAAAATTCATAAATAAATGTCATTGTGACTACGAACCGCGATAATCGAATCGCAATGGGCGGGTTCTGGTTGGCGTCGCTCTCATTGGCTGAGCGAATGATGGGGGGTGGGGACCTTTCTGTTTCCTCCACCAGCATTGTTGCCTGTTCTCACTCGGGAGCCCTTCATAGATGTTTTGATTTTCTTAGGATTTTTGTTTCTCTCAAAATGCTCTCCAGGAACAAAGAGCCCCGTAACGAATCGGCGTTCCACGGGGTCGCGCTAAGCGAGGTCTGCCTCTATTTTGCTTTGATGTTGACTTAAAATGCCAGGCTGAAAACTTACATCTGCTTTGATGTCCAATATGTCACCAATATAAATATGAGCTGCTCTGCCTCGCTGCAGATTTTCCCAGTCAATTTAGTTTCCTCGTACGTAACAGACAGACACTTGTGGACATGTGGAGATGGTGGTTATATCTTTTAGGTGGTGGTGGTGGTGGTGGTAATGAGATGATGGCGATATTGATAAAATCATAGGCATGCACAAGGACACATGGTTATGGATAGATGCATGTGAACGTATGCGTTGACGTGATGACGATGGCGATGCGGGTGATGATGATGAGATAGCGATTCTAGAGATGTTGGTGCTTATGATGATAATGAGATAGTGGCAAGGTGGTAATGGTAATGATGAGGTGGTAATGATGACGTGGTGTGGAACTCACGAGATGCGACGATGATATGATGACGAGGTGGAGATTATGAGGTGGTGATGAGGTGGTGGTGGTGGAACTCACGAGATGCAGTGGGCCGCCGTGAGCACCCACTGGGGGTCGATCAGGGTCCCACCGCACGTGTGGTACCAGGATCCGCTAGACAGGTACTGCAGGGAAATCTACAGCAGCCACAACCACAAGAGACCACCACAAGCCATCAACCACCACAACTATAAACGAAACAAAAAAACTGGACACAGCAATCACAGTCGCAACAACACGCAGACACACGCTCATTTAGACATTTGGGCTGGAAAAGTGCAAACTTTTTAAAATGTGGTTTATCATTCAAGGTCGGTGGAGTGTCCGGCCGGAAACAATTCGGTGGCTTTTCCGATGCCGAGGGGTCGCGGCATCAATGGTGGTTTGCGCGCGATGGCCTCTCAATCGCATTCGCACGCTAAAGACAAAGATCCCCCTATATCTTCGATAGACCATTGGGGAAAGTTCTATTAGCGAGCATTCATGAAGGCCAGCACAGCACCCGGCCACCTTAGTATCCCATGTGGCGATGTTCACACAATGCACCGGGTACTCATTTGAGGCTGAGTCGACCTAGCGGAGGCCCAGGACCGGTTCAGACAATCGATACTGATGCTAGCCGTGATCGGCAAATCGATTCTCGGGTCGCTCGGGTTTGTTGCACCCAGAACCGGTGCCAGCCTGGCCGAGCAGCCTTTCTCTGTAGCTTCAGTGGCAGCCATCTGGAACTCTCCCACTGCAGCACATTCATAGCATCCAACCACCATCAGCACCAGCTCAAGACTGACACCTCTTCAGGCTCAGCTGTTCAGGTTCTAACTTGTTTAGGCTATCCTTTTAAGTTGCACCTGTCCAGCCTCCCCTGTCCCGGCTCTCATCTGTCCAGGCTCACCTGTGCAGGCTGTTGTACGAGAGACTCTGGGCTTCGGCTCTACGCCTCTGGACTCTTGAACATCGCGTTCGATTCACTAAATAAGTGCGCCCTATAAATTGTGTTTATTGTTTTCCAGGCTCGCGGAGCCAGGCCGTGACACACACCTGCCAGGGCCAGCTGTTGGGCTTCGCCTCCACCCCATTGACGACGCGGCTGTCGATGGGAGGGTAACTGGGTACCCCACAGCCCTGCGCAGTCGCTGTGCAGATACGGGGATGCCAGGGAGGCACGAGGAGACACAGAGGCATAGGAAGACATGAGACATGGGGAGACACGAGGAACACAGGAAGACGTGGCGAGACTCAAGGGGATACAGGGAGATACAGGGGGGCATGGAGAGACATTGGAAGCCGCAATGCATACGTGGGAAAATACTTGGAAGACATGGGGAAACATGGGACCATGGGGAGCTATGGGTTGGTACAGAGAGGTATTGGCACATTGGCGGCCACGGTTTTAGAGGGATGATGAGTGAGTTGTGATTATGGTAGTGGTGACGAAGGTGATGATGACAACGATGAAGATGATAACACCCACCCTGCACCAGGAGGAACACGGAGGCAATCAGGGCCAGCATCTTGTCCGAGTCTCGTTTGAAGTCGGTGAGTTCCTCCTCATCCAGGGCCTTCTTATAGAACCTGGGAGGTGGGAGGCGGTTGGGAGAGGTGGGGGGGACATCATCAGAGCTCCCATATGATCCCCCCAGCCCCCTGGATCCCCTACAATTGCGTGCGGTCTTTGATAAGAGCGATGATAAAATGATCAATAGTGGTCCTGAGAAGATTGATTTGCTGGCAAGGAGTTATATGGGTTTGTAGGACACATGTCTGCTTTGTGCTGTGTCATATGCTGGAAGGTGGTTGAACTGATCAATCAAGTTTTTGAGTGATTACTTTTGAATCGGATATGATTAATAAACTAAGGATAACCAACACACTCGAAACTGGTGACGGATTCGGGTTCTCTCGCCAAAGGAGAGAACCCGCAACCTCTCACTATAAACTGAGCAGAATGGTGTTGACTGTTGAATAGTATACCTAAAGTAACAAATTGAGCGGATCCCCGTAAACTGAGACTTCACTTTATCCAAATGTACGACTCGCCTAACCCTTTAATCTTTACTTTAGCCTTCATGCTGTCCCAATCCCTGGCACTAACTATAGCCCACACACTCACCTCAAGCCTACCACTTGATCTTACCTTATTCCTACCCATTATCCCAATTCTATCCCTTGCCCCAACTGACTAAGGAACCCCTAAAACCTGTCCCAAACCCAAAATCTAGGTCATATACCTGTGCTAAATGGATCATTGTATCGTAAGATAGTGACAGTTGGCAGCAGCTTGGGAAGACCTTCGCCCAGCAGTGGATAGATGATGGCTAAACCCCAAAACTATGAACCACAAAATGGAGCACTATTCTCTAACCATGTAGTCCGAACGCTTGACCATCACTTTCATGGTATCCCTAACACTATGGCCACCCCCACACACCTGCCTTTGCCGTGTGCTCTGGTTCCCAGCTGATTGAGATGACGGCACGAGAATGGAGGATTGGGGGAGGTGGAGCGATAAGCACGACAGATATCAAGGATTAATCTCCCGGCGCCATTGGGTCGTTGAAACGCACCTGCTGGACACCCACACTCCAGGTGCGACGTATGGATCGGTCGCAAATGATTCCGTATCTGTCGCCATCCTGCCAGAGGCCATCGATGGACCGGACCAAAAATAGGCCAGACTAAAAACATAAAAATAAAGGTTTGGGCGCAATTGATTTGTCACGCTCGCAGTTGTCCAGTTGTAATTTTCTCACGATGTGACCACGGAGAGACGGTGACCAAACGATGGAACGCATCGTCGATGTTTTGCAGGAAACTTCGAGTGTAGCCACCACCGAGTGGCGGTCTGTGGCTCGCGACACCTTGACTAGATCACACGTGTGATCTAGTCCATGGGCAATGCTTAGCCTTTCGGCAATGTTATGTCTCTCAGGGAAATGTTAAGTCCATGGGCAATATCATGGGACCTCCTTTGCCAGTACCAAAATATGAGAATAGGTTTTTCCCCTTTTTTTCTGGCAACAAAACAGGTGTTAAGATGTTAAAACACCAAACTTTGGTCTAACACCGTTTGAGACTAGGCTCGAAAGCTGTCTCTGGTGTGGACCAATCAGTTTCAAAGACAATGCATATATTATCAGAGTACGTTTTTTGTTTGCATTCTGACCACAAGTATTGTGGTTAATGCAGACGTGATTCCTTGTAAAAGGTTTCAGTTTGGTGTTTTAACATCTTAACACCTGTTTTTTTGCCAGAAAAAAGGGGAAAACCTATTCTCTATGGGCAATGTTATATCTCTCAGGGAAATGTTAAATCTACGGGCAATGTTTAGTCTACGGGCAATATTAATTCTTGGGTGAAGTATATTTGGAAAATGTAATATGTTGTGTAGTCTGTGTTCCTTCAATGGAGGAGAGGAATAGCAAAACTCAACTCTCTCCTGAAGCCTTCTCATAGCAACCAGACCTTGACATTGCCATTTAGCTCCTTGAGCGTTGAGTTTATTTGATTTTTTTTGCACGGATGATCCTGCGTAGTAGCCATTTGCTAATTTTACTCGGGGTTGATCCATGGTGCGTGAGCACAGCACCAGAAGCATAAAAAAAACAAAAGACAAAAACATCAATGTTGCAGAGAATGAGGACACAGTATTAAAAGAAGAGTGAAGGCCGTAACAAAACACATGCTAATGGAAATACAAATTTTCAAATATAATGAGAGTGAAAGGCACCAGAAAAAGTGAGATACAGCTGCAAGTACGCTCGGTGTTTTCTTTGGTCTAATAGGGTGTTCTGCTTCACGGCAAGTGTGGGGACTGTGTGGACACAGGAATTTCCTGTTTGGAGGTTGAGTTTGGTCACGTGACCAGGAAGTTACGATTTAAGATTCCCTCTCAGCCACGCGGCAGGGTGTCAGCCATTACACAGAGTACAAAATGGAGCAAGCCCCGCACGGGAGATAAAAAGCGGGTCCCCTGTTGGGACCGGGGGAGTTGCTGAAGAAGAAGCTACGTCCACATCTGAAGAGGAGCTATCCCGGGGCCCCGGACCCGAGTGGGACCCGAGGAGGGATAGCTATCGGGCTGTGTGTGTTAGGGTAGCGAGCCCCGTGGGTTACCGCCTTAACGTAACTGGTAAAGGGGCAGCTACCCTTTTGTGTTAGCGTGGAATAAACATGTTGCCTCCAACGTGACGCCTGAGTCTCCATTTATACCCACCACACATACATTTTTAACTTGCATAGAAAATTTATTGTATATTTTCATTTGATATACAGCCAAATAATACGACAAATCGCTAACCTTAAACACCGAGTCGTTCATAAAGTTGAAGGCAGTATAGTACAATTGTTATAGAGCAAGTGCAGAATCACTGAACTGGAATTAATAGCTTGAAAGCATTCAGTGCGGGGCCCTGGAAAGTGCGGGGCCCGTAGCATATGCTACGAGGATAATCTGGCACTCCAGTGAGGCGTTATGTAACATGGGGTCGATTGACGGGCATCTGGTCATAAATACAGAACACTTTGAAATAAGAGTTGCCGTTCCACAACCCTCTGGTGTCTCTCGGTGGTGAAGTCACTCGAATCTCAAGAGGAGGGAAGAACGCAATACAGAGTATCCACTTATCGCCTCCAAACTCGTCTATTGTTTTTATTAACCGGCCTGTCCCCTCGGTTACATTGACATTGTGTTGTACAGTACACAATAGCAACTGTACACGTACAGTACATGTAAAGTACCTGCTTACCTATTCATGCACAGTACGTAGGTATAAAACAACATTTTCCTAAGTTACAGTCCCTTTTCTCTACTTATTAATTTCCCTGCTTTGCGTCGCATAGCCAATGTTTACGCTCTTACAGTCCAAATCCCCCACCATTAACATGTATTTCTATGGGGAAAGGGTCCCTGTTGTACATTGTTTCGTTATAATATGCAGCCTTCCGGTCTCTATCTCCGACGTATATCGGGGGCCCCCTGTAACACGACGTTAAAAGTGAATGTTGAAGTGCATCATCTTTACGAGGGTCATCGGTGACCTCCCTCCCCCCACCTGCTATGGGCGAACGGACAGAGCTCACGCTGCCTTCACGCTCTCAATCACGGCTTGAAAGAGTTAACAACCACCACACCACACGACTCAAACAAAGCCCGACGCGCACACAGAACAACAAAAGAGGGATTTATTGCACAAAGTGTTTTTTATTTCGTTTCACAGTTTCCACGACTGCCTCCCTTTGTCCGCCAGTTGTGTTCCTGCCAAAAAGACCCTTGGCGGGAATGCGACAATTACCACGGTGGTGTCTGTTGCACGTGGTCTGTAATCTAGCACTTTGGAGGCAGCAACAGCAGTGGGGATTGGTGGATCATAGCACAGATGTTGTGAAACTCTCTTCCCCGTGGGCGTTGAAAGGAAGATTGGGAATAGGCCGGTAATTAATAAAGCACTCCGGATCTAGGCCTGGCTTTTTAAGCAGAGTGACAGCGGCGACCTTGAAGGCGGAAGGAACAATATCTGTTTTCAGAGATCTGTTGAATAGATCCCAGTGCAAATGGTTCCAATGGAGGAAAACTTTATTTGAGAATATTAGTCGGAAAGGGTCTAGTAGACATGTGGGGTGGGAATTGGCGATCAGGACAGAAAGATAAGTGGAAGAAATTTCTCGGAGCATAGTGGTGTACCATTGAATTGAGGCTGGACATCTGGAGGAAGAGAGCTAGCTGGAAATGAACGCAGCTGTGAGAAAATGGTAGTTATTTTATGGGTAAAAAATGTTGACAAAGACTCACACCAGTCAGCTGAAGCCGAAAAAATTGCAACAGGGGACTGGCTTGAGTGTAGGTTGCAAAAATAGTCCCGAGTATTATTTTTGCTGGCTGCAATAACGTTGGCAAGATATTCTTATTTAACCCGCTTAATATCCCCTTCATAAGTACAGAGAGATTGTTTAAACATTCGATTAATGGTGAGGCCTGATTTCCTCCAAATCCGTTCAGATTGACGAGCTTTGGTTTTAAGAGCCCGTAGCTCTGGCTGAAATTAACCGGGACCTAAGTGGAGTCATGGAATCGAGAATGTTAGAGAGTATTGTTATACTGAAGCGCAGCCTCATCAATACGGAGTAAAATGGGCTCTGATAAAACCGAGATTGATGAAGCATCAGTAAGTGCAGTTGGACTAAGGGATTTCAAATTACGAAAGGAGATCCTGCGATATGAATGAGCAGGGCATAATAAGTATATTTCAAAGAGCACTGTAGAGTGGTCAGATAGATACAGATCTAACACGGATATATTATGCACGTGAAGAGCAGTAGTGGGAATGGGTAGGTCCCTGAACATGCTGAATGAAATCCAAAAAATCAGGAGTATCCAGAAAATCCATGGCTAAAGGATTAAATGGTTCGTCAACATGGAAATTTAAATAACCGAGCAACAGTATCCAATCGTTGTGGGGGTCGAGCTGTTTTATTTTCCATTCAAGCGTTAAGCTAAATTCACCAACCTGCCTATTTGTGTATATAAATACACCAACGCTGTGTGTGGTGTGGCGTGTGTTTGCGTGCGTGCCTCTGAGGGCGGGCACCATTTTGAGCTGAGTCGGTGGAATTGATCGTCGATGGCGATTCCCCCCTTTTCAATTTCTTCGGTGACTTTGGCGGCAATGGGCGTGGACCTAACCAGGGAGGAGAGTGACCTCATAGAGGGGGGCGTGGCTTGAACAGAAGTGGGTGGAGAATAGTCGGGAGGGGCGCGGCCTGGGTGGGCGTGGCTTAAACCTGCAGGTGGAAGAGGCGCACGGGAGTGGCAGCTGGCCCGACTGGTGTGTGCGCGCATTTAATAAAGGGGAAGTGATATGGCAGAGTCCGCCTGTTCCATCTGGATGGGGTTGTGTTCCCCGCCTACACGCGCTTGGGTTTTCTCTGGGTGCTTCGGATTCCTTGCACATGTATTTGGCTCCTTTATATTCATGTGTTGTTATTCTTGGTTCTTTCGGTAAAGTCGCCACGTAGAATGGAAACAATAAAATAATAAAAATATACAACAATAAAATTCTCACGACGCCTGATGATGATCGCTTGTGTTGCAGTCGAAACGTCGTGAGAATTGTATTGTTTTATATTTTTATTATTTTATTGTTTCCCTTCTACGTGGTGACTTTACCGAAAGAACCAAGAATATGAATCCCTGCAGTCACGAAAGCTTTAAATTAAAATTTTACGTGTTCTTGTTCAATTGAGAGGACTGCAGACCTTGGGCAATTGTTAGCAGCATCGGTTCGCCGCATGGCTTGCTGTCTTCCCTCCTGTATTGCTGTTCCTCGCGCCTCTAAACCTTCCTATCTCAACGAGGGTGAGCGAATACTGTGGTCCAGATTTAAATAATTCTGAATTGCTATTACCTTACCATTAAACGACTCGATTACTAGGGGTGCTACGGAAGAAATAAAAATAGACAACTCTTCCAAAGCCCCATTTCCCGAGCACCGCCTCCGCATTATGATCGTACTGGGAGTGCCACCTCCCACTGCTATGTGCCCATCCGGCTCGTGCCAACTCTCTCCGTGGTGGTGGTGGTGAACGCGCCGCTGGGATATTACTGATCCAGTTTGGTGGCAGCGCCAGCGGTGTAAGACTCGTGCCTCAAGGCAAGAAGGCCCTGGGTTCGAGCCCCCAACTCGGGTGCGTTCTGTTTGGCCTCTCATTTATGTGCTAGGAAGAAGGGTCATTGCCCGAAACGTCTCTTATATATTTTTCTCATTTAAGGCCACAGTATTCGTGGCGAACTTGTTGAGTTTTTTTTTTCCTGTCATTGTGCACTCCTCCCAACGGAGCATCACCAGATGATTCGTTTTAAACTCGGTTTCCCATGTAGCCCTGTGTTTTATTGTGAGCACGTCACCCGGTTCCTCACTGTGACCGACTGCTCTCCATTATCGCCACCGCGTGACTTATGCCCGCACAAAACCCATAATTAACAGGTCCCTGCAGGGTGGGCTGGTAGGAACATTGGAATTTTGTGCAATTTTATTTTTACACCCCAATAGCACGAGATTTCACTTCGTTAAAGTATTGAAAGGGGACAGACGGACACATTAATCTATTGCAGGCTGGTACACTCAGTTTACAACTTCGTTCCTACCAGTATTGTTTCCAATCAACATTAAGACAAACACGGAATAACATGACATAGCAGGTGATGCTTTATTTGACTTTAATCCGAAGGGGACTAGTAAGGGAGAGAAAAGGTTGATTCGTGGGGTGTGTGTGTGCACATGGTTCGCTCATTGGTAAATGATTGGCTTCGAGTCCAGCGTTTGGGCCGCGTACGTGCGCATAACCTGTAAAAGAGTGGAAAGGCAGTAATTACTCGCACATTCTTCATCTATTACCGCTTTGGCAGTGCTGTTTGTTTCTGGCCGCTCGGCGTTATTGAGCCTGTGCCAAGCAGCTTTGTTGTGAAAAACAAAGGCTTTTCAATAGGAACACATTTATACAACACATTCACACGAGAGCAGTATATCTGATCAAATAGGTTACCTTCTGAATAATCCTGATCAATACCAATCGTATCTCTTTTAATTATAAAAAAAACACCACGATCATCACTAACCCAGACTCTTAGGCCCTCATATTTTGTAGGCCCTCCTTTAGGCCCTCAAATTCCACATTGAGATAACAGCCGAGCGACGGTGGCGTGGTCATCAGATTTTATCGTCATTGAATTGCGATTACTTTATTCATGAATTTTCCACAGCTAAAGCTAGGGGCGAATAAAAATAATAAATGGGTGTTGTGAGTAGTTTATGTTTGATGAATGTACCTTGAGTCGAATGTGTACATTTTACATGGATAAATACGTAAGTTTGACGACTTAATATTTTTTTTGTTGCAATTTGTAATACAGACGTGTCTCGCTGAACAAGCGTTCTTTCTACGATAATTCGCTGTAACGAACAATTGGAATTTAGACCAATTTCGCAAAACGAGCTAATGATCGCGTCACGAACAGAGACCGATGCACGGTGGCCAGCAGTTTGTTGTTTGCATCGCGCGCTTTAAAATGCACTTCTGCAACCGTCTGAAACGCTCTTCCGATATTAAGAAGGAAGAGCATTCCAAACGGCCTTATTAATTGCAGACGCTGAGGACAGGCACCTGCAAGCACTTGTTCTTCATTTGTGGTATTACATTTGATGTTTTATCTAAAATTATAAATAGTTTTTCTCAAAGTTATTCCTGAAAAGTGCCACATTAAGCGAAAACCACGTTTAGCGAGGAATTCCCATTACTGAATCGCATTTCCACTATAAAATCAGCCTGCAGTCATACCATGGCAGGACAACGAACTGAGATGAGAGTATGCTGCCACGTACTGTATCGTACGGCGTACTGTATCGTTCGGCGTACTATATCGTGCAGCTCAAGAAAGCAGTTTGATGTCCATCGCTCAGAACCCGTGTAATAACGGTGCACGTTCCGCGTTATAACGGTGCACGTTCCGCGTTATAGCGGCGCACATTATAGCGGCGTATGTTTCATCCTGCATTATAACGGTCGCGTTCCACGTGTGAACGCGTTAAGTGATACCTTTCCATACATAATTAGGCTGTTCCCTCCTATTAGCCACAGGCCCCTCATAGCCTTAATTTAGCCTTGACTAGCATCCCCTAATAGCTGATGTGTGGGGCAACAGCCCCTCATTATAAACCCACACATGGGCCCGTATTCTTAGTCACGGCTCAAACGCAGCTCTGACCTTTCGACTACAATCTACACAGCAGCAATCATCGCCCCCTACTGGTAGACTTAATGCCCCAGGTCACTTTTGTAAATGGTCTCTTTTAGAGTTTTCACTAGGTCAAACTATATAACCATGACACGTGCAAATTCCTGCTTGTCTGTTTGTGGCTCCTTTGCACCTCAGGGTTGTTCTCTCTCGCTTCGTGAGCGAGCGATTGTGCGGCAATTGGCGCCTTGCAAACCTGACATTTAGCATTTCAATAATTCCCATCACCCAGCGTGGCCCACCCCAACGCGCTGGCCATCTTACACGTTCTTGGACTTGCGACACAATGATGACTCCACGGCTTGCCTCCGGCACACTCGCGCCCGCAATTTAACTCCCCTATTTTCTTTTGACTCGCGATCAATTTTTATCCTACGACATTTATGATTGCACTACAACCGTAGCCTGCTGGAGTTACGACAAATCTTAAGAGCGACTGCTGTGGTGGGGTGGGGGACTTGGTGGGGGGAGGGGTGCCCAGGTTCTCCCAGTACCCTCCTGTTACACTCACGCTGTCGATCCAGTCGTTGAACGCCGACACGCGGGTGAACACGGTGGGCTTGCGGATGTAGTTGCAGCCCATAGAAGACACGAAGCTGGCGATGCCGTGCACCTCCCACTTGCCCGCAGAGTTGATGCAGTTCAGGGGGCCACCAGAGTCACCCTGAATTGGGGGGAGGTGGAGGAGAGATGTGCGATGATGAGTGAGGGTGCAATGGAAGTGTGCGTGTGAAAGTGGTAAATGCACAGCCTTGCGATTGCTCGCTCACGCCACCGCTGGAGGAAGGGGCCTCCATGAGATGGAGTTCTGGAGAGCCCCACTAGACGGTATTTTTGGCCTACTCTTCCACGCTGGTGAGACGTCTTGGACGTGCTAGATTTACTGGAAGTGCTCGATAAACTCGCTCCATTAACATCTCACATCAAACGCACGTCTGCCCATGATAACCGCTGGTTAACCACAAGCCGTTCATGCTAAGCGGCGCAGGAGACGTTACGAGCGGATCCTTTGTCCTAGTGGACTCAACACTGACCGCGGACATTACAGAGTTGCCTCCAAATAAACAGATCCTTGCCTCATGATCTACACTATATCAAATCACGCATAACAGCTGCTTCTGACAGTCCTAAACACCTCTGGCAAAATCATAATGACCTCCTACACCCAGGCAGAAATGTGGTAACTGCTCTGAGTGATTCACTTGCCACAAAAATACTCGCCACTTCGTTCAGCACTTATTTTACTCACAAACTGGCACTCATTCGTAGCTCCATCACTGCTTCTTTGAAATTCTACCCTAATTCTCTTGCTTTCCCAGCTCCTATTTCTCATGCTCCCCCAATTTATATTCTCCCCTGTATCACGGAATTAAGGTCTTGCTTTAATCATATCACTTTACATGAAGCCTTTTCCTCTTGACATCCTTCCTGGGCCCTTCTTTAAGAAAGGCTCCACTGAACTCGCTACTGTGATGGCGCACCATCGCCAACCCGCTTTAATTTCACGTGACAAGTCTCACCATGTCTTAAGAAATCCGGACGCGATAATGACAACCCTGCCAATTGCTGCCCAATTACTAACCTCTCCACCATTTCTAAAATCATTGAGTGTCTTGCTCTCGCTCAACCTAAGACTCGCATTACCTCTTCCCCAATCTTTTGTCCCTATCAATGTGCCTACCGTCCGACTTACTCCAGGGAGATTGCAATTACCAGAGTATTTTCCTCCCCCGTTACTTCATATCGCGAGGCCATTCTCAGGCTGGCCTGCCCACGATTCATCCTGGGTTAATCAGGCCCAATTGCTCTGAGTCTTTTCTGAGCAGCGCTTCTTCTTACGTTGCACCCGGCGTCGTATCCGTCTCCTCCGGCGCAGACCATGTTGGTCTGCACGGTGCTCGACCACCAGCTGGGCTGGCTGCACGTGGCGTGGTCCACCACGGGAAGGTTGGCCTGCTGCAGGGCATCGGGCAGGGCACCTCCAGCTGAACGTGAAACGAGAATGGAGCAAGGAGGGACACTCAGTACATGAGCACATGGTGGGGGAGGGTGGCATTGGTGGTGGTGGCATTGTTGGTGGTGGCAGTGGTGGTATTGGTGGTGCTGGTGGTGTTAGTGGTGGTAGCAGTGCATTCAATGGCAGGGTATGTGTGGTGCTGGCAGGCAGCTCCACCACCTCTGGACTTCATAGGCAACAGAAGAGAGCAAGGCTTTGGTCCGGACTCACTGGCGATACGGCCCCAGCCCGTGATGTAGCAGACGTAGTTGTTGGGCAGCACCAGCCCAGCGGGGGGAAGGCAGGACAGCTGCACCTTGTTGGTCAGGGTCACGGGCTTGACCAGGCGGATGAGAGCGATGTCATTCCTGGTGAGGTTATGGCCAGAGGTCACGGTTAGAGTTCACAGCCGGTGATGTAGGGGGAGGGGTGGGCTGGCCCGGCAGGCCGGCTGCTGGCTGGTGGCTCAACTTTGAGTGGTGGCGGCACTGCTGTAGAGAGGGGGGAAGAGCAACGAAATGCCCCCAAGCGCCAAAGTGCCCCACTCCGCCCTCTGGTGGTGGCCTTCTTGCTGGACCCGTCGCCTGTAATTTTCATTTATTCAGCGTTTAAATGTGACGGCATCTCAAGTTGCTGGGCGCGAGGTAACCACGTGGCATAGGGGCCAAGAGGTGCTGAGATGGCGCTGCTGAGATCCTGGGTTTGGATGCCAGGTTTCAGTCACTCGTGGTTAAATTGGGTTCTCAATTGCAGCGAGCTGATGGAGTTGATGGTCTCAGCCCAGTCACCAATTACTGACCGAGTTGCGTTCTTCCACTTACAGCACTTTGCCTAATCTCCAACTCTGCGAATTAAAAAACTATCGGGTTTGACAGCTGTGCGATGGACATTTGTCCGTAGAGACACAGGGGAAAGAGAGTCTACACGAAGCGGTTATTCGGATAACGGATTCATTTAAATGAATAAACAATCGCTCACATTCCCGACACAAACGCACTCGAGTGCACATCAACATCCCAGTCACATCCAGCAAAAGGACCATCTAAATAATCTCAATGCGCGTTTCTAAATGTGGAGGTGACTCACCCGCCAGCCACGTTGTTGCTGTTCCATCCGGCGTGCACCGTTATGTGGTCCACGTCATGATACTCGTCTCCGCCCTCCTCGACCGTCAGGATGTGCTCACCCACAGCCACGCGGTACGTGCGAGAGCTGGCACCGACAGACACGGATGGACACGTGGACACTTATGGACGTGTGAAGATGGTGGTGATGTCTGTTAAATGGTGGTCTTGTTAATGGGATGATGGTAAAGTTAATTAAATGACATGTGTACACAAGGAGACGCGAACACTTATGGACATGTGGAGATGATATATGTTGGATGGTGGTCGTGGTCATGAGATCATGATAATATTTATGAAAGGATATGCGGGCACACGCATATCAGCACATGGGCACATATACAGTCATGGACAAATGCACGTGAACATAGGGGTTGATATTTTGATGCTGATGCAGGTAATGATGACATGATTGTTCTGTAGATGTTGATCATGACGAGGTGGTCATGAGGTGCTGGTGCTAGTGTGGAGCTCACGAGATACGGTTATGATGATTAGATATTGATGCTAGGGATGTGGTGGTGGAACTTACGAGATGCAGTGATGATGAGATGCTCAGATTGTGATGATGAGATGGTGATGATGACGAGGTGATGATGAGGTGGTGATGATTAGGTGGTGGTGGAACTCACAAGATGCATTGATGATGCGATGTTAATGCTGGTGATGATGAGCTGGTGGTGAGGTGGCAATGGTAATGATGAGCTGGTGATGATGAGGTTGTGATGAGGTTGCGATGAGGTGGAACTCACGAGATGCAGTGGGCCGCCGTGAGCACCCACTGGGGGTCGATCAGGGTCCCACCGCACGTGTGGTACCAGGACCCGCTAGACAGGTACTGCAGGGAGATCTACAGCAGCCACAGCCACAACAAACCACGTCAACCACGACCACAACCATATCAACCACCACAACTATACACCAAACACAAAAAAACGGGGATCACACAACCCACATGAACACAACAATCACAGTCGCAACAACACGCGGAATATGTGCACGTTATGAATTGTGCTTCTTTTGTTTTCGCCTGGGCTCTTGGAGCCAGGCCGAGGCACGCACCTGCCAGGGCCAGCTGTTGGGTCTCGCCTCCACTCCATTGACCACGCGGCTCTCGATGGGTGGGTAACTGGGCACCCCACAGCCCTGGGCAGTTGCTGTGCAGACACGGGCACGCCAGGGAGACATGGGGAGGCAGGGGAAGACATTGGGAGATAGGAGGAAACAGGGGGAGACACGAAGAGACAGAAATAGAGGACATGGCGAAACACAGGTTGCCATGGACAGATGCAGGGAGATACAGTGGGACATGGAGAGGCATTGGGAACCACAGGGAGCACCGGAGATGAGGAACACATGAAGACATGGGGAGACATGGGGCCATGGGGAGATGGGTGGGTACGGATAGGCATTAGCACATTAGCGGTCACGGTTCTCGATCGATGATGGGTGAGTTTCGATTATGGTCGTGGTGGCGAAGGTGATGATGACAACACCCACCCTGCACCAGGAGGAAGACGGAGGCGATCAGGGCGAGCATCTTTTCCGAGTCAAGTTCGTGAGTTCCTCCTCATCCACGGCCTTTTTATAGGACCTGGGAGTGGACCAGAGGGTTGAGAGAGGCGGGGGGGAGCATCATCGAGCTCCCCTCTGATCCCCTATAATTGCGTGCGGGACTTTGATAAGAGCGATCGTAAAAAATATAAATATGCCTGTGGAACACTTGTGTCTGCTTTGTCCTGTGCCGTGTTCTGGTAGTTGATTTAACTGATAAATTAAGTTACTTCAGTGATTACTTTGAATTGTAGCCGAGAAGGAGGCCTGAGTTTCACCCAGAATTCAACTTTACTTTTGTCAAGGTCAATAACTAAATTCGCTGCGAGTTTAGAGACAACCGCTCAATATTTTGCCAATTGGTCTATGGAGTCAAACAATGCACGGCAGTCACTACACGCAGAGTGATTGTGTCGGCATAAGACACAAGAAGAGGAGGGGATTCCTGATTGAGTAGGTGAATGAGTGAGTAGGTGAGTGGATACCACTCAATATATACACAGTCATTATAGGGGCATAGATGCAGAGAAGAGCAGAAGCGTGTCCTGAGCAACCTGTAACAATAAACTGAGTAGAATGAGATTGAGTAGGTGAGTGGGTAGATGAGTGAGTAGGTGAGTGGGTGCCACTCATTAAAAAGACAAAGCCAAAGATCCCCCGTAAAGCCTTAACATACTTTTGGGGCAAGTGCTGTTGGCGAGCACTTATGAAGGCCACAACGCCACACGATGGGGTGGGTGGCCAGCACCACACCCGGCCGCCTTTGTCTCCCTAGTGACGATGTTTACTCACCGCACCAGGTACTCATTTGCAGTTAAGTCAACCTAGGGGAGGCCCAGGACCGGTTCAGATAATCGTCACCAGTGTTGGCCGCAAGCAGGAATCGAACTCGGGTCGCTAGTTTCGTAGCGCAGTGCGCTAACCGCTACACCACCGCTCCCCCATAGATGCAGCGAATAGGAAGCGGAAGGATGTTCTAAGAAACCTGTAACTCTAAATTGAGTAGAATGACATTCTCAGCTACATTTTGATTTAAAGCTTTCGTGACTGCAGGGATTCATATTCTTGGTTCTTTCGGTAAAGTCAGGGAGAAGGGAAACAATATAATAATAAAAATATAAAATGTTCTTGTTGTGGTTTTCACACCTGATGATGATTGCTTGTGTTGCATTCGAAACGTCGTGATAATTGTATTGTTTTATATTTTTTATTATTTTATTGTTTCCCTTCTACGTGACTTTACCGAAAGAACCAAGAATATGACATTCTCAGCTGTTAATTTTTACACCCAAAGTGACAAAATGAGCAGAGGGTGTGACCCCAGGAAACTGAGACTTCACTTTACACATATTTGAGCGTCTTGAGTGGCATCTTGGCGGAGGTGTTGACCAAGCTGGCAATGCAGGAGGCCAGGGTGGGCAAGCAACGAGGGGGCGACTTTGGCGAGTCGAGGATTGCCTCTACAGGCAGACCCCGCCAAATGCGGGGGTTCCATTCCTGGAAACGCCGTGTTGGGCAAACTGCATTCGACAAATAATATAGACCTCATAGAAAAAATATAAGGTTGCACACCTGCGTCCGAAATGATCACCCCCTCTTTGTTTAACTAATTCATAATTTCCACCCTTGCTTTTCCACTAAACGACGCTGAGTCTTGTTTAGCTTTTTTACCCAATTACTAAAAAAACATTCTCTTGTTATTTTGGCTGCCGACCCTTGCCGTAAGCCTATACCTAACTGGCTCATATGCTGGTGCTAAGGTGATCATTACATTGTAAGATTGCGACAGTTTGCAGCAATTTGGGGAGACCTTCACCCAGCAGTGGATAGATCATGGCAAATAATGTTGACGTGAACCCAAGACTATGAATCACTAACCGTAGCACTTCCATAACCATAGTCATAACCCCGAACGCCGAATCGTCACTTTCAGGTATCCCGAACCCTATCGCCATCCCCCACACCCCTGCCCTTGCCGTGTGCTCTGTTTCCCAGCTGATTGCAGTGATGGCGTGAGGATGGGGGGTTGGGGGGGGGATAAGCACGACAGATATAGATGATTAACTTCCCTGCACCTTCAGACCGTTGAAACGCACGGGCGCCCACACGCATGCCAGGTGCGACATATGGATTGGTCGCAGATAATTACAAATTTAGAAAGTATTTCTCTTTCATCCTGCTGGAAGGTCGTCGTCATATCAGCAGCATGATGGAGACGATGGGCCAGACCAGAAACGGGCCAGACTAGAAACTTCAACAGTGTTCAGCGGAATCGATTTGCCACGTCCCATAGTCCAGTTGTAAGTTTCTCACGACGGCAATGTAAGTCCACAATGTGACCGCGGAGAGACGATGACCAGACGATGGAAGGCATCGTCGACGCTTCGCAGGAAACCTCGAGTGTAGCCACAACTTGGTGGCAGCCTGTGGCTCGCGACAACACCTCGACCAGATCACACGTATGGTCTACACCCACTGGTCTATAGGCAATATTAAATCTCTCTGAGAAATGTGAGTCTATAGGCAATGTTGAGTCTATAGGCAATGTTAAATCTCTCGGGGAAATGTGAAGTCTATGGGCAATGTTAAATCTCTCGGGGAAATGTGAAGTTTATGGGCAATATTAAGTCTACGGCCTCCATGCGGTGGCGGCCTGTGGCTCGCCACACCTCGATAGTCAAGCAGATTGCATTTGCAAGGCTACTATACACCGCAGTATTAACAGGGGCAGCCTTCCGGATAGAAACACAGAGAGAGCAGGTGGGGGGAAGGGAGGTAGTAGTAACAGGTAAAGGTGCAGCCCTAAAATTGCTGACAGATGGGGCCTCCGCTAGAGGAAACTCGTAGAAAGTATTTGTCTACTCTTCTAAATCAACTGTGATCATTTGGATAAACTTTTCTTCCTCCCCCGCCGTAGGAATGTGGAATTCCCACCAATGGCTCGGGTCTGTAGACGGGAGCTGAACGTCGCCCATCGATGCTTGTTTGAGCAGGAAATCACTCTGCCTCGACTCTTATTTATCCCAAGCTTCTCCCCTAAAAAAGCATCCCAAGGGCAGCAGTACATTTTCACGGGACTGAATTGATTTGATAATTTTGAAGTTCTGTGCAAAACTAGCTACGACTGGCCAAGAATAATGAGAGAATATATCGAAATTGAATTTTTTTAAAATACATTTAACCGTTTGGATAGCTACCGCCTTAGTGCTGCGTGGAAGCGAATAATCAAATAATATATTGTTTAAATGCATGCCTATAAAGGGCAGCGTACTTCAATCGGGATTACCGTTGGTACGGCTATTTTAATAAACACAATAGACAAGAAGGACAAGATCAAAGGGCTCGCATAATGCGCATTCATAATGTATGTTGACACAGTAATTTCCCCCCCCCCTCCCCCCCACTTTGTTTAAGAGCGCAGAAGGGTGGTCACCACATCTACGCCTCTATGTAAGGAACGGAACAGAAAGACTTCTCCACAAATCTGGCCGTCGCCTGATGAAGCTAGTTGTAATTATTGGCGAAACGTCGTACTCAGATTGTAAATGTTGTGGCTTGGCTCTCCAACACACCGGTGTGCTGTACTAGTATACTACACTACTATACAACACTACACTATACACTGTATAGTAGTGTAGTGTTGTATAGTAGTGTAGTGTTGTATAGTAGTTTAGTGTATAGTATACACTACACACTAGTGCTGTACTAATGACGAATTGGCACGTTCTGTTTACGTGACAACCCTTACTAGTTGGCTGTGTCGGGTGGTGGCGGGTTTTAACGACGCATTTAAATTTTAAGGCGATCTAACCCAAAAAAACTTATATTATGGATGATATTGGTCGCGAAAGCCTACGTGTTAAACAGAAAAGTCTATCTTGATTCGAAGCTTTCGTGATTGCAGGAATCCATACTCCCCGGTTCTTTCAGTAAAGTCACGTAGGTATAAAATAAAATAAATCACGACGTTTCGGGCGCAACACAAGCGTCCATCATCAGGTGGGAAAGGATGGTCTGCTGCTGAGGCAGACTGTTTTAAAATATTTTAAATGGGTGTAGCCCAAGGGTCATAAAGAAGTGGCCGAGGCTAGTGATGATATGTGATAAATTAACTTGTAACTGTAAGATAGGAGAGCGGCCTCCTCGACGAGGGCACGGAAGTGGCTATGTTAATGTGAGGGATTAGCATGATGTTAATGTGAGAAATTAGAGGGCATCAAAGTGGCTATGTTAATGTGAGAGATTAGCATGATGTTAATGTGAGAAATTAGAGGGCATAAAAGTGGCTATGTTAATGTGAGAGATTAGCATGATGTTAATGTGAGAAATTAGAGGGCATCAAAGTGGCTATGTTAATGTGAGAGATTAGCATGATGTTAATGTGAGAAATTAGAGGGCATCAAAGTGGCTATGTTAATGTGAGGGATTAGCATGATGTTAATGTGAGAAATTAGCATGTAACTGTAGCAAAAGGAGAAGCGCCCCCCTCGACGAGGGTGTGCAACCCAACGGGTGTAATCCAAAGGGCCTGTGAGCATGAGAGTGCAATCCAAAAGACACGTGAGCATGAGAGTGCAATCCAAAGGCATGAGAGTGCAATGCAACGGACATGTGAGCATGAGAGATTTAAGAGAGAGGCATAGAGAGAGACAGAGAGTCGCAATAACAGCTGACATATGCAGGTTGGATGGAAACATCACAGTCAGTTAAGACTTTACCTGGTTAATAACGTCCTTCCAATGATTGCTCAGTTTGTACCCATCCTCTCGGTTGAAGTTGTGTCCGTGTTTATATATCTGGATGGCTTCATGAACAAATCTCTGAAGGTAGCCGGTAGGTTTGCAGAGTATCTCCGTCTTGGAAAAATCAATTTCGTGTGAGCCCACAGCATTAATGCAATGATCGGCAACGGCAGAGGTATTGGTCCTACCGTGTTTCAGATCTGCCTACCGTGTTTCAGATCTGCCTTGTGTTCACGG